GTTGCCAAAACTGGAGCGTTTTTTGAAGGACCAGACACATAGTTCTATGAGGAAGACAAAGAAATATAGGAGAAGCGTCAGAAAAAACGTATCACCCACTGTCAGCCAAGTTTTTGCCTACAAAAGCTGTTATTGATTAGCCATTCTACAATTTTTTCAAGTGATATGTATTCGGTGACAGAGATCGGAACCAAAATTTTCGTGAGTTCTTCGTGTTGGTGTTTATCTTGATGTTTTTCTTCCTGTGGACATTAATTCAATCAACTGTCTACGTTTTTAATGACAATAAATACAATATGAATGTAAAATTAAACTGTAAAGTCATAAAATCATACTCTAAAGGCAAGCTATGGAAGTCAAATAAGAGCTACGAAATGCCAATTTGTATTGAAATTCCGTTGTTCATCATAGAGTGAAAATTCTAGGATCGACGTAGGGAAATTTTCTATTTTATTGAAATAATTTGCATGAAACTTTCATTAATGTCTGTTAATCAAAGTAATCCATTATTTATATTAGCTTAGCAATGAAAATAAAAATTAACATCGATATAAATTTAAAAGTTGTAACGTAAATCTATGATATAAAGGCCTGTAATATTGTCCTACTTGTACATTGTGTTTTCAACATGAGGTATACTAGAAATCACTTCTAAATGTTTTATCAAAATTCGTTTCCTATGTATCACATAGGTGTATTGTTTTGTTGAATCATCGGTGATAATATACTTGCGTAAGTTCCTAAACATCCAGCAGTTGATGACGCATTTCTCTTACGGTGTGAATCGTATGGCTGTGGATAAGTTTTGTCCATGGCATAAAAAATGGTCACATCATTTGAAACGTCTTAGCCTAGTAATTAGTTTTTGAAGTAAAATAACTGAGCTCCTTTGAGTCGTTGGCTCCCATTATTTGATGAAATGTATACCCAATGTGTCACTTGTCGAACCATTTGACCTGCTATTGCGTACGATGTCTTTATAAGTTCTGATGTATTTAGTAATCCAAAGAGTTTCTAATGCAATGTATATATTACAACTTACAGGCACGTTTACGATTTCATAACTTTCTTATCTGTGGATACGATCATCAGTTTTGTTTACCCTGATCCATTTCCAACTCGTACAAATTTCAACTTTCCGTCTAAAATGTAAAAATGTGTTGGTACTTGAAAGTTCTGGATCTTGTTTTAAAAAATGGCCAAACCAGCCATAAATGATGTTACGTTCTCGTATAAAATTTTTATATCTTATCAAAGCACCATTATTTTAATGGTAATAAGCCCCACAAACGTACATCCTCATAACTATTTAACGCTTCACAGACATCGTAAAAACTATACCATCAATATCATCAAATAAGCTACTGTTTTAAAAACGTAATCATCGAAGGCATGATTGATTGTCGAAATTCAGCAAACAAATGATCCCAATACTAAGAAATTTTCTTCCCAAGAATTTTTTCCAAACGATGTTTATCGCAACTATTTTTCAACCTACTTTCGCAGAAAACGGCCACTTTGAAATATGTCACACGATCGATCTCCCACATCGCCTACACGCAAGCCCGAGAAAACAAAAATTTCACGCACAGACGGAATCAAGGGTAAGAAAGTATAACCACTCGATAAACTCCTCACTCCACCCAACGTCAACAGACCCGATGGTTGAAATGTCACGCCCAACGCGACCTGTTGGTATAGGCGTCCACGGGTATGACTGTTAACGCGGAAATAAAACCAATAAATCGCCCACCGTACCAGAGAAGGCGCCGTTTGACCCGCGCAGCTCCAGGGGCCCGATCCGTCCTCCCGATACGGGCGCCCGTGTAAACGATTTGTTTTCGTGGTCCCGATAGCATCGCGGACCAACTAAATTAGCCCGGGCGGCTTTCTCCGACACACAGGCAGAGGCGGGAGAAAGAGAGGGCCAAAATCGTCTCGAGCGTGAAGGAACGATCGGATTAATCGCCCCGTTTTACGGTATTGGGACTTTCTCCGGGTCGACCCATTGTCCGCGCTGGACTCGCCGAATCGACGATTCGTTTCGCCGGCATCTATTATCTCTCCCTTTCGCGGCTTTCATTGTCTCTTGTGGTTTCGCTATACGTGTCCGGCAGTCCGGTTGGCTAGAGCTAACCCGGCGATCGGAGGCTTGCGCAATCGTCGAGGTTTTTCCGTAACGCGTCGAGAACAGCGGGCCGTTGTCCAAGTCGGTGTTAACAAGCGCTAAGATTTTTGGTCTTGTACGATCGGATAGTATGCCCAGTTGTCCTTTGGTGCTTTACTAACCAAGTGAGAGTCGTCGATGTACATCAGGACTGAAATCGTAGAGTTTTATCGTTGTACTTGTGCTTGGATTGTTTGGAGATTGTTGTTTGCCGATGATACACTGCCTTAATAAGTGGAATGGTTGTGATCTTCTGCTCAATGTCCAAACTTGTCATTAATTTTCTTTTACTTCAACAAATTCAATGTCAGTTCAACCTTTTTGTGAAAATATATTTTTGATTATAGAGTGTAATACAAAAAGAAACGGAACATAAGAACGACACTATTTATGTCCTATTTTGAAACGATTCTTAAAATATGTATGATAATCATATTTTCAAATTCATACTACTCTTAAGCCGAATAGAAAGTGAATACGTAAGTGTAGTGTTAGGGTAGATAAGGAATAGAAAGATTCGGACGGATACAAAATTAAATGATTAGCTTGGGAAAAAGTTAACCACTTAATTGTAACTATTTATGTGTACTATCGGATGCATTGCAATTACCTAACTGCAAGTCAACACCTTCGTCGGCGACAATGATGATTTTGTATTTCTTTGATTGATTACCATACAAGGACAGTTACTACTTGTATTATTCGCGCACATTTTACAAATGTTCAGGTAATGCTTGGGTCACACCGTATCGAGGGAGGAGGGGTGTGAACTGATGTAAAGTAACTCAACACTTGGATAAAATTAATACGATTCATAAACAGGTCAAGATAGCGAGTGAATCAGAATACTCACAGCTTGGATTCATACCTTCTGTCAAAGGGATGTGTGGATAACTATAATATAACGTATCTCGTTCCAGTTGAGTGCTTTGTCTCTTTTCAGCCAATGTCCACTAAATGTCATACGTTTATTTATCCAATCTAAAGATGTCGAACGTACATGAACAACAACTTGATGTACTCGATTCGGTAGTCACGAAAGCACTGCAATCAAGGAAGTCAGATTAAAACCTGATTTTCTTGAAAAACCCTGAAAATGACCGAGTATTATCATCAGAGACAGTAGCAACAATGGGCTCGAATTCCTAGGAAGGAAGGAAAGAGAAAGAAGGCACGCTCGCTTCCTCGTGCCACCCATTAGCGCGTCGTTAAAATTAACAGCGCCCAAGGCAAACACCTTCGCACCCCCCTGGCTCGAGCCGTGGACACTTGCTGTCGGTGCAACGTACTATGTTACATTGGACTCGCGTACCATATATCATCAGCTCCCTCGTATAGGCGCGCGTACGCCAATTTCACCTATACACACCAGCCGCAGTAGTAACAGCCGAGTCTGGTAAGGCCGCGTATTACGTGTACACCCGAGGCGGAACAAGCGGATGAGGAAGTAAATGCAGTGTGTATATGTGTAGGTGCTGTAAGTACCATACACGCGAAGTGCACAAATGAGAGCAGCGTGGAAAACTCTTACGTTGTCGGGCTTGTCAGGGTATTTTAACGAACTGTGCCCCACCATCATCGGTGCACCCGCACATGAATACATATGCATACACACACATGATCGTTCGCTTATTAGCTAACGCGGAAGTAAGCCGCTCGTTGTTTGTGAGCTTAAGGGCACGCTCGCCACGGGCTAGGGTGGAGTGTATACATGACGGGAATGAAGTTTTTAAAATGCAAGCAAAGATTCAAACGCACCTCTTGCTCCTCTCTGATCGGGGGAAGCATAGGTGGTGTTTGATTCCTTTTTTTTTTTTTTTTTTTTTCTCTGAAAGCCGTGTATGAAGCCGCTGAAAGTTTTATTGGACCATCGTAATGCCTTACCTCGTTGGAAAGAGGATCGAAAAATAAATCTTGAGCCGATGGGAACTTTCACGTTGTAACTCTATCTTGAAAAACTCTCGATTTCGTGAAAATGCTCGACTCGGCGGGCCTTTTAAATCCGCGTCGGGGCGATACGTTTTCTCACCGCATCGTCCGTTTCCCGTATTAATAAATCGATGTTGGCTTATCAATTAGGAAATCGCAGGCGCATTAGGTTCTCTCGGTGGAGAAACTCTTCCTAATCGGGGATGAGTGATTGCCTGCGCGCTGTAAAATTTAATTACTCGAGCGCGCTTTGAGATTGATATTTGGAGGAAACGTTGACGCGAAACGAGTTTGTATCTTTCGCTCTTATAGGGGGGAGGGATTAATCGGATCTATTTACTTTTTGCTGTTTTGCACTTGAATTACAAACTCTCTTTCGTCGTTTTGACTGTTTGCATTTGGTGGTGTGATTACTATCGCTAGGGGGTAGGGTTTGTAGGGCCCCAAAGCATCGATAGTACGCTCGTACGTAACTATACTTGCAAGTGGTCACTCGAGGTAACAAAACCTGAATCCTAGAGAGACACATACGGTGGCATTTGTTATTCGCACCACAATGCAACTTACGTAAAAGCTCGAGATTGAGATATCTCAGCTAGATATGCGTATCTTTTTCTACTCTTTAAGTATACATCCAAGACAATATTTATGTACGAATGTCGCACTACGATTTGTTAACATAATGGTACAGTTAAATTGCTGGAGGCACGTGGAAAGAAAAATACTCTTTATTACTCACGATTTTCCACAATGTTTCATATGATCGAAAAAAATATTAACTGAATGCTGTTAACAAATACAGAACTTGATACGTTTTTATGTAAAACAGCAAAAAAGCCCACATAATCCATCGAAACAAAGAAACACCGATCATGCGCTAATATTATTTTCTCTTTGTTTGCAGCGATGTGGCGCAACACACCAGAAATTCTCTTCTGCAAAATGATTCGCGTCGCCGTCTTCCTGTGCATGGCGATCCTACCCTTCGCAAAATGCACCAAGGTAAGCCTTTTTTTTTTCTTTTGTCTAATATTTACATCGACGAATTATCGATTCAAACAATAAAAGGTAACACTGTATACCGTTACAATAAGCGTGATGTTGATCATCTGAAATTAATACCGGATCCGTATATGCTTGTTACTGCAATCACATTTTAATTTCAATAACAAATGGCATTGGAAAGAATCGTCAATCACTGGTGTGAACAATGTGTAATTACTTATCATGGATATAGTACTGTGCATTATTCTGACATTGAATATAAACAATCGTAGCACCGATTATTACGATCTAAGGTCGTTATTGTGTATATTGGATTGCAATGAAGTAACAATTCCCTGAATTGCTAGTTTAAGATTTTTGTTACGATTGCTTGAAATATCATTATTTGAGATTTTAAATTTATTTTAACAGAGAACATTCATATACATATTTTTTTTCCATTGCTCTATAGCACTAGGTCGTAATTGATGGTTCATTTATAACATTCGTCAATATTCATTCACAGTATCCCATCATCACCTGATTAGAGTACCTATCTAAAGAACCAATTGTATTGCCACTTGTTGTTATGCCTAATAACAATTTATAAAATAGAAATTAAGATGCTCATATCAGAGGTCAAAAACTTCAATCATCATTGACCCATACTTTTCAACGTAAGGTTGCCTACTCATCGTTTGTTATCGCCATTATTGCTCATTACATTAGAACTGTACCTCTTTCATTTTTCTTTATTCCAACTATTTTTTTTACTGTCATTATACATCTACTTTTAAATTTTACTCCGCGTAACCTTCAACTCCCTCTTTTTTTTCTTTCGTTTCCCCAAACAAATCATTTGAAACCACAAGTTTGCTTTTTTTCTCTTCAGGATACCTTTTTGATTTGCCATTTATTACGTCTTTCATCCGTGGATTGACTTCATTTTTCATCCTGATAAACTCTTCTTCTAACACGTCGAATTTCTCTTCATTTATTATTCAACGCTTCTCCGATAATTTAATTAATTCTTTCTTCAGCCCATCAACTTCTTTTATGGTGTTCTCTCGTACTTCTCGTATCTTTCTTTTCTGACTTTAATCTGCTCTTCTGTTAACTTTTTATAATCCTTATGTAATGCCATTTCACAGCGTTCTATCGCTGTATTATTGACGGCTTTGCTCCCACTTCTTTGACATTATCTCCTGACCTGGCTTTGTAGCCTCGAACTCATACTTTTCATGGTCATAGTTCTTAAAGATTTCACCGCTTATTTTCCATTTATACCTTTCCATTAATGTCCTTTATCTTATTTATATTTTATATCGACACTTTTGGTTACTGCTCCCTCTGTCATTCAAACGAATGAAGTTGCTCAGCCCTTGATTGGTGTTTGCTGCGAATCACAGCTACCAACGCTCAATTACTTTCGAATCGTCTGCCGTTGAAAAACTTTTCATCAAAAAAGGCCAATCAAGTTGCGAACGAAGAGGTTCCATCTCTCACGTGACCGTTGATCTTTTGAGAAAAAACTACCTTCAAGCGGTGTACACGGCACACTTGGCGTGAAAGGCGAATAATTAAAAGGCCATGTCAACACCGCGAAAGCCTCCACACTTCACGTAACAAGCGAAAAGCCAATCTCCCACGATACTCCGTCATAATTCCACGTGTGGAGCTTCAAACTAGACAACAAAAAAAAGGCAATGTACCCTCTCCCGAGCCGCATATTTCACCATTCGCTTGTAAAGTACTTGCCAACGAAATCTGCATGGATCGGCAAGAGCATACCAATCTGCTGTTGGAGAGCACAAGTTTCCGAAATAGAAAAAAAAAAAAAAAATTAAATAAACAGCGCCTTAAAATACCCGCGAGATCCCCACTTTGGCATCACCTATTATCGTCCCATACGTAATCCATCCATTACATAAATCCAGTGAACCGGTTAGCGAGCACAACATTATTCATCATCGTTAAATCTTCGATGAATATACGCATTAGCACCCGCTCGCACACCACAAACGTTTCTCAATCCTCCAACTCTCGAGTGAGAAAGACAACCCAAACGAACTCGAAACATTTTGCTTCGTTCATCGCTCAATGAGTTAAATTTCTCTCGGTGTGACAGTCCCCTTTCATTTTTACTGCCACCCCATCTACGATGTCGCGAAAAACGCAAAACAATAACTCTCACGCGTACCAGGAAAACCATACCCCCATTGATCCATGGATCGTCCAATCGTTTCAGAAGAAGTAATCACAATCCATAACGTTTAAAAAGACATGCTACACTTTTTCTTACATCAAAATCACACGACTAATTGTCCTTATTTTTTTTTTGGAATTTAGTTATTCAAGTTCATCACCGATTCACCCATTCGATGAGGGGGGTGGGGGGACGAATTTCAGTGACAGCCCGCGGAAAGCCTCTCTCTCGTTGTCCGTGTAATTACAAGGTGCAATCTCGATTCCACGCGCGGCGCGAAACAATAGGGGCGTCAGAGCTGCAGTCTCGAGTTTTCGCTTCCCGCAAGGTGTCGAGCCGCTTTCTCGGGCCAGTTTGTTTATCGTCCAGCCGTGATCGGGTTGGCGCTCGCGCACGACCTTTACAAGGTACATACCCCTTATGTACTTGTGGGTAGCGAGTTACGGATAGGAACCGCGCGAACGAAAGCAAAGCCACCCATGGGAGAACATTTTGTTGCGCGAGCATGTGGTTCAGAGTCGTGTATATGGGAATGGGTGGTGGAACTGGGAGAGCCGGATGAATTATCACGGGCGCGCTTTGACGCCGATTTTTACGCCATGGGGCCGAGGAGACGACTGGGAATGGAGCGCGCGGCAGTAAATATTGGCAGTTGGCATGAGAAGTATCACGTGGGCAAGGAAAAGAGTGGCTGGCTGTTAGAGCAGAGCGAGGGGGTGGCTGATTTCACGAGAGAGGAAAAATCATTGGGTGGTTTATTCTATACACTGCCGTAGTTCATACGCGAAACCTCACTGTGCGTGTAAAACATGGGATTTTACCAAAGCATAAATCTTACTTGTTACAACCAAGGGTTCGTGGCTTATATAGCGTATGTTACGTATATATACACATGGAAGTGACGATATAGTAGATCAAAATGTTATAAAAGTCGTGAATGAGGCAGATAGAAAAAAAAACTGCCGTCAAAAAGTTAAAATGTTAGTATTTGAAAGGCACAATCAAGCAATAACATTGAAAGATTACAGGATAACGCGAACATGTACCTAATATCAGTATCACTTCGATGTATCAAACTTACGTACGTTAGATCCTGCACTAAAAGTATGTAGAAGATTGATAAGTTATTTAGGTCTGAAATTAGGTCTTATATGAAAAGTTGATACCAAGTACGTGCGAGTGTTTTTGAGCAAGTTTCTAAATATTAGGGAAATTTTTTGGCACCAGAGGCATAAAACATGCCTATGCATTATGAATGTGGATTTTCATAAAATGTTCAAAGACCATTGGAGTTTGACGTGCATGATATTAAAAAGATTATGTCGTACATACGATGAATGGATTTCAATGAGGTAACGTGTGCAGCTGCGGAGATGCATGATTTCGTCTTGGATCGACGAAGGCGGATTTTATGGCAAGATTACATGATCATACTCATAAACATAAATTTCAACAACCGAAAGGAATCGGTAACTCGTTTCGAAAATGTTGGCCTTTAAGAACATGTGGGAAAAGATTTCCTCAAATTGGGTGTTTTATTTCAGTTAAATTATATTTTACCAATGTAAAGACAAATAGTACTTTCAATATTTATTGCTCTGAAATAACACAATTAGGGATAATGGATTCTTACCCTAAAAAAAAGTTCTCAATAGCCACCATCACAATGAGTCAAATTTTTACGTACATACGATTAGAGTATTGCAATGCATCAAACCAAATCGTATCCATTATCTTACAGCTGTAGTCAATTGATCTAGAAAAAAAAAGGTTTTTTAATTACGATTCTTTGGTTTTCTTGTAACACATAAAATACTGGGACAAGCCGAAAAGAAGAATCCCAACTGACTTGCCATTTTCCATCTGCCAATCGGACGATCCATCGATTCTCACTGGCGTCGTAAACTCAACGCCGCACATGTGCAACCCGCATTGTCGATATTTCGTATACATAGTCCATTGAATGGGCTTTGCGTGTGAATACACGTGTGTTTCGGAACAGTGTAAAGGCACAGATTTGCTCATACTTACCCGTGGATGTACGATTATCCACTTTATGCGCAATCGAAGCGGCGTTAAATGCTCAAGAGATGAATTGAAAAGGATCAATGGGGCTGTTTTGCAAATCGAAGCAGTACCGTTCGATGTGTTTCACCGATTTGTATAGATTTGAGGTCTTTTTTTCTTCTGTTCTGTAACGATTGAAATGGCTATGGTTAGGGGTAAAGGGTAGGTAAAAAACCAACCGGTGGCAATGATTAAGTCGTAACGGTTACGTTTTTGTGAATAAGAATGATTTTTTACTGATCGAAAACTGATGCTTTAGAGAAGATTCGTAAAAGTCATTGATTGTGAGTTTCAAAAGCATTGCAATTTTTGTTACGATTGACTGAAATATCAAAAGAGCACTAGATACACTAAATCAAACACAGCTTAGTTGGTGTCACGATAAGATTATGTGTATCTTGTTCCAAATATTAGATAATGTCGGTTTGAGCCATGAACTGAGACAACAGGACAGTTGAAAATCTAACACAACCGCTATGATTTCGAATATGACGTATACACGTAACTAAGAAAATGATTCGATTTTGGGATTCCCAAGTTTCTATTTTTTTTTTTTTTTTTCACAATACTTCAACAGACAAAGTCGTTAGAGTTCCGTTGCTTTTGCTTTTTCTGATGACATTGTAACTAAAAATTATACGAAAATAAACAAAGCTAGAGTAACTAAGAAATAAAAACTTTACTGGCAAAGATATTATTTTGTTAATGAGTTTAATTTGATCAAGTTTCACCAAGAATAAGTACAGAGATGATGCTCACGGAACGAAATAATTATCAAGAAAAGATAAACAAAACCAAAAAAAAAAAATTACATTCAAAGTTGTAAGCTCGTATGCCATTTATTGAGGTCCTGGCCGTCTCATTTGTGTATCTCTGCGCTCAAAATGTTTAACCAACCAATGCTCATGTTCTTTTCCTGTGTGGTTGATTCACACAAGCGGCCGTGTACTCCCATTAATTTTAATTAAAGTAAGACTGTAAATTCAGCACCACCAAGAGCGATGGGCATTAATTAATTTCTCCTGTTGAAATTTGGAGAAAGTTAAGGGAAACGTGGTCAGAGTTCACGGAAGGAAACATGAGCATTATGCGTTTGCTCGGTGTTGAATATATGATCGCCACGTCTATCGAGTTTCGCTCATGTCGATACGAGTTTATTCACACGTATGTGGCCATAGAGATTATCTTGCTCAGCTTCACGTGTATTCTTCTAAAACTTTTCGCATACTTGAGGAAACCAAGGTCTTTTACTAATCTACAATATTTGTCAAAAGTGATACATTTTTCACACGAGCTGAAATTTCGTAGGGTTAAGGCATTCGCTTTTTTTATTCGGTAATTTATTCCTCTATTGCATTGTACCATAGATTTATATCATTTGTGCAATCGCCTTGGAGTTTCAACAAATAAATTATTTCCCTTGCGTCATTAAAATGTTTCATTGGATTTCCAATTTCCGTATTTCGGTAACTTGAGATTGGGTAACAGCTAAAAAGTCAGGCCAACTTACTTTCTTTATAAACAATGGTTTGTTTTTGGCTCTACTGGAAGATTTTATAGTCACGAGATTTTAATTATAATTCAATCATAAGTTATAGGTTGCACATTATTTTCATTGTAAAGCTATGTATTGGTAATGTTGGGCACATCATTAAGAGATTTTTTTTTTTTTTAAAACGGGCAAGGAAAATAAATAAAAATGTTAGACACAACAACAAGCATATGATCAATTAATGGCACATTTATATCCTTTTTTTCAGATTCACGAACACATGACGAAGGAGGAGATGATGTCGGTGTTTCAGGCAGGTCACGCATCTGGTGAGTATATGTAGAGGACAAACATAACTAATCACGACGAGTAATAAACAAGTTTTGAATTCGGTTTTTTCACTTTTCATTATTTTTTTGTCAGTAGGTCAATTTTTTGTTTATTAACTAACATAAATAAATCTGTTTTCTCGATGTCGAGGTATAGATTGTACGCAACTAATATCCCAACATAGTTGACTAGAAAAATGCACTTTTACGCTGAAAGATTTAATTCTGACAGTACAGAGCGACTGAAGTAAAATGTATACTACAGAATCAAGCCACAAGTTTGAGTGGCCTGTTTGAATCCATAACTATTAGATACACGCACCTTCATTCACGTTATCTGCTCTATTTGCCCATATTCGTCCGAGCAGCGATTCCACTCGTTTGCCTTAGCCGTCGTTCGTATTACATCAGCGAGCCCATGCGAGTCGGAAGACTTACGACAAAAAGATAGGAGACGTAAGGAAAATGTAAGTCTGCAGCGAGAGAAAGCACGACTATACACTAACTAGGTCGTTCCACTGTGACTTCACGACGTTTTCGTTAATCGACACCGATGTTGTGTCGCGTTTGTGGGACCAGTTGAATTTCTGTACATTTACTTTTTTTTTTTTTTTTTTTTTTTTTTTACCGTGTTCATCACCAGATGTTTATTATCCTGTTGTGGTATTGAAACATCGAAATTTCAACGAAGACGAGAAGTAAGAAAAGATATTAACATTTTTATACGTGTTCCGCTGAAACGTAAAAAAGTTTACAATTCCCCCTCAAAACGACGCCAAAAGGTGTTTTATACCTATTTTTATTTTTTTTTTTACACATCTTTTAATTTTTTGTGCCATTCCTGAAGAAAAAATTATACTCCTGCGACTGCCGAACTTTGATGCAATAAAAACTGTGCATTTCGCTAAACGACCATCATGTACCATTACCGAATCGATCCAACGTTGACATAAAAACCAAGTAGGAGTATTTAGTTTTATCATTTGTTTTCCAAAAGTGATCCGAGCTACAAAAAAAGTTTACCGTCAATCATCTCATTTGTATGGAAAAATATTTTTTTTTCTTTTCATATGGATTCATCATCCAACTCTGGTATGAATAACTTGTGAACATAAAAACAATGAAATGACGTTTATGAATACTGATGTCTTTTGTCAATGGCCGAATGGAAATGAGAAATCTATACCCGAAAAAAAGTACCAAAACAGTCAAAAAAACATTACCGATATCGTGACTTGGACAGACCCTCAGTACCTTTTACATAGTTAATCCTTCGCATAACACATAGTAACATCGACATAGCCATATACTCCAACATCCCATTCTGCTTGTGCTTCTTTCAGTTCCACCTTACCAGGTAGTGCGGGTCCTGCACTCTGTGCACAGGCGGAGTCCGGAAGATGAGCAGGAAGTGCATCTGAACGCGTTCGGTAAATACTACGGCCTGTACTTGAAGCCCAACGATGGTCTCGTGTCGGGCAACAGTTTGCGCATGTGGACCGTCGAGCGAAATAATTCACTTCCCGATGGACTGCGATACGAAAGGATTCTGGAGGTATTTTTTATTTCATGGCGTTGCGTTTATTGGTTATTGCGGTTTCATACTATTACACGTACAGCATTTACCCTCGTTGGAAAATATTTACGTACAGGCTTTTACAACGAGATTCTTGCAGACAATCGCATACATTTTTTTCCTCCACTTTAATTCTGGTACCAATTAACACTAGACTTGAAATAATTATAGATTTGTCTGGAATTGATTACTTTATTTAAATTGATTTTTTATACTTTGTTTTATCAATGAATTGGTATTTGTTTGATTGTGAAACATTGTGATGGACAAAAACCCTATGACTTTAACAATAAAATGAAGCCATTTTGTGTTAATATGGGTAGAGATTTATGTTATTTGCGACTATATATGTGTGAGTAGGTTTAAGAAAAATTCTAAATTAACATTTGTTATTAATTGTAGCTTATTGTTAAGCTAAAAAAATTGAATCTTTTTTTTCTAAGTAATTGCCTAATTTTGCAATTGCACTTTGGTTTTCCATCAAATACTATTTAAAAACAAAATGATGTAGGAATAGGTCTTGTTACAAAAAAAAAAAAAAATCTATTTTAATCACTATCACGTAAATTTTTCACTTAGCTGATTCAATAGCTCTGTTAAGTGCGTTATTTACGTATTTTTTTAAATTTTTTTTTTAGAAACACAAGATTTTAAAGGCAATTTCAGAGCAATAACAAACTGTTCAAATGCCTTCGTTTGCGTTCGCGTGTAACATCATTCCATTTTATATTTAGAGATGAAAAGTAATTGTTTTAATACGAATTTTCCTCTACTCATCAACAATTCAATAAAAAAAAAATTATCGCTGTTGTTCTGTTTACCCGACGTGGAATGTTCAACAATTACAGTAAATGGCACGTAACAATAACTGCAAAAAAATTACCAGCGCATCGCAGCAATGGCTATTACGGAACGCCAAGGCCAGTCGATGGTTAAGTTGAAATATCATTTCAAAAGTATAAATGAATATCCGTTGTTCTATAGCTGTCACAATTACAAAGTCGTCATATTGCATTTGTAATCTTCTGCCGTTCCATAACAGAAGTGAAATTAAATCTTGCATTCGAAACAACGTTAAATTTCAAGTTCACGTGACTTTTGCCAAGAAAACGGTAAACAATGTCAGAGTCACAGGAGAAATAATTTGTTTTTTCGATGCTAAAACATAGTTTCATTTCTCCGCCACCATAACTCGACGTCTGTTCAACAGAAAGACGCCGAGATCGGCGACGTGTACCACGACGAGGAGAACATGGCTTCCATACTAATGCACCGGGACGCCAGTGGGAAAGTGACTGTCGTAAGTAACTATCATCGAATCCTCTCGGCTATGTCATTACGACACGAACAGCGATAGTACCCCCCCCCCCCATTATTCTCTCGGGCATCTCACCTTCTTGGCTCTATAAGGAAAATAAAACTAGTTCACACTGCACCTCAAGAAAAAAGAGAGACAAAAGCGGGGCGTTGCACACGCATGTTTTGTCATCCTTCCCTGTAAGCCACGATCGGCCGCCGGCCTCGATCTGAATCTATGTACACTCCGTTTTCGGCTCGCGAGGTCTTTATTGTCCCGAATTCGAGAGATCCCAAACAGCTGATAACAAGTATATGGAAGTAGCTCCGCTCCTGTTCTCATAATCCGTCGGTTTAGCGCGACTTTGTGCAACCAACCGTACGCGCGAGGAAGTTGGTACTCCCGTGGCGTGCTCGTCGATTGCCCAAGAACTCTCCGCCTGACCTCCATTTGAGTAATTTTTCCCCGGCGTTTTATCACTTCTTCGGTATCTGGCCGCTGTGCCCGAGACGCGTTTGTCTCGCCAAATACAACGGGATCGCGTCGACTTGGTGTATATACCTAGGGCGTATAATTTTGATAGGTAAATTTCGCTGGGGTGCGATAGGGTATAGCGAGATAAAATTGGCCGAGTGGCGCACAATGCATAACTCGTGCTCGATAGCGTATTGTGGTTTTTTTTTTTTTTTTTTTTTCTCGTTCCGTTCCAGCAGAGATAAGGTCAAAACAATCGGACGGATCCGAAATTGGCCAATACCGTAGTCTTGCGCAACGAGTGTGTATATCGTACAATGTACGCGGTAACACGAGGTTACCGATACGGCGGATACGAAAGACACGGTGTATCGGAGCTTGTGGTCGGAAGAGACGTTTAAAGGCCGAGTAGCGCGGGCAGGACCGCTGGGAGGTAAAGAAAAAAAAAAAAAAGGCAAACTGGACCGTTCGCCCGTCAATTTTCGTAACTTCACCCTTTCTTTTCTTTTGCTCTATTTTTTTTTTTTTTTTTTTTTTTTTTTTTTTTTTTTTTTTTTCATAGCACAAAGCTAGCATGCAGTAATGAAGGGGAAGTATGCAAAAGATTCCAGGTCACACAGACTGGGGTGCCGCATAACAGTTCCTCGTCTAGCCAAGGGGTCGAAAAATCACATATCGGCCAGCACGTGACTACATTNGCAATTGAACGCTGATAAGGAGACAATAGGATTTACGAAACAGCCGCGTGGGTAATGGTAACGCGAGCCGGTTTAGATTTCTTACCGCCTATGGGTCAGTGACGGTGGAAGTCGACTCGCACGAGTTTTGTTCCTGCAGAGGTGCATGTCGAGGGAAGGGGATTTAATAAAAAAGAAAAAAAAAGAAACCTTTGTTTCGTTGAACATTTTTCAGAATAATTGAGCGACGCTTACCGTTTAGAAATCGCTGGATGCCAATCACTTTCGTTCTTGTTTCATGCATGTTTCAACCAAAATACGCGACTAAAAGTTACTTTGGAGTTTTATTCAAGTGCCGAGACAACCCGTGGGCGCAAGCACCAGACCCGAGGGAGCCCTTGTGCTTGCCCTGGTTGGATGCGCACCAACTGTGAACTCTATTTTTTCTACTGAGGTCGCAGTAAACGCCCAAAGCAGGAAACACATTTTTCTCTTTTTTTGTTTTTTACATTTTCCTTTTTTTTTTAATTTCAATCGCCCAGTGCGATGTCCAAGTGGTGGCCCTCAATAATATTCTGCGTGCAGAACTATATAAATGGACGGCTATGGTAAATCGCTTTTGTTTTCAACGCATATGCCAAAAATGAAACCAACACCCAGGGTAAGTGTACCTATCTCCGTGCTCTGCCCTATTACCGTGGATTTTGAAAAACTGATGATTACTTGCTCAAAATAAGAAATGTTTCATATAAAATAATTTTTCAATTTTAATAATCTGAAATGACGTTAATGTAGATGCAATTTAAACAGAAATATTTGTGTATATTTTGAGTAAATAATTATTTTCCACGGTATTCGGTACAACGCGCTCATTAACTGATTGTGTACGTATTTCCGCGGTGAGCGTACGTAAACATAACCCTATACATCCACGGTAATACGTACACGGTAATAGGTACACAACCACGGTAATACCAGCATACCTTTTTTATTCGTTTTAAAAATATTCTACTGCAGTTTTAACTTCATAAAATTTTTTTAAATATTCCGTAAGAGATTATGTAAGATTAAAAAAAAAAAATATTCCAAAAAATTTTAGTATATCATTTTTTATGGTGCATTTAAGTTGGAATTTTCAGTACGTGCCACGGAGATAGGTACACTTACCCCTAATAGCAAGCACCAAAAACGCGGAAGCAAGCCCGTCTCTCCTCGAAAAATCTGGCCTGCCGATCTTTAACAGCCCGGAGGGCGAGTACACGCAAGCGCGACTCAGCCGCTTGTATTTAGGTCGCGCGCCTGCACTTACATAAACCGCGACCCACAGCGCCCCGGAGTCTTCTGACCTTTTCGCTTTCACTCGCGTCTCTACGGGCCCGGGAGGTGAATCCGAAGCGCTGCATCTCAATTTTTGCCCAGGTGGATGAAAGTGATTCGGCCGACCGTATACGTGGTATACAGGCGAATTGATGCACGCCGCGAGTGGGCACTCGAATTAACCTTACGGCCATGACGCTCCTTTGATTGCGTGTATGTATTAAGTGCGAGCGTTGGATAACTTGCGCGTTTATATACATGCCCATCTTGGTTTTTTCTTTTTTATTGTTTTTTTTTTTTTTTTCTCAAAGAACTGATTTGTGCGCTTGTGCAATCGGTGTCGTCATTTTTACGATCCCGCAGCCGCTCGAACGTGTATCTGTAACGAATACTCGTGCAAAACGAGCAGCTTATTTACATGGAAAAAATTTCATAAGAGTCAGTAGTTTTCGTCTTGGTGCTCGGGCCCCAAAATATACATTTGTATTGGAAAAAAAGCAAAATAAAATCGTTTTTTCAAACGCAGGAGGGTAATATAGGGTCGGATCTAGTGATCAAGCCACTGCCGGAGCGCATCGTTAAGGAAGTCGTGAGCAAAGTCCCGGAGTTGCACGATCCGCACTTGCTGCCTAACGTCACGAGGACGAAGCGCAACACCCTCGAGCACACGCACCACCACGTCGTTTACAAAAAAGCGGCGCGACCAGCCGACGACGAGTACGGCGATTTCGGTGAGTTACTTTCGCTTTTATCTTGTGTTTGCAATGCTTTTGCGAGCAAGTTAATTGTTTGAATAGTTCGAGTGTGTTAAATTATAAAAAAAAAAAAAATAAAAAGTTTTTTGTTTCATTTTGTCAGTGGGTGCTTTGTTCTAGAAAACATAGATTACTATATGTATCTGTGGTTATGCGGAAGTGGGGAAATAAAAAGAAGGGATGTAATTTTGTTTTAAAAAGTTTTCTTGGATTGTATGAGAAGTTTTATTTTTAATACGGAAATGTCAGTGGTTGGGATCACAATACTTTTATACGTTAGGTATCACGTTACATAGATGTAGATTGGAGGTCTAGAAAAATCACGTTATTATAAGTAATTTTTATTTGAAACACAGTGTAATTTTTTTTCAATCATTAATCAAGAATAATAATGCCAATTGCTTTCAACCATCATTGTTTTTTCATAAAATGGTACACCTCACATTAATTTTTAATCAAAAATTTTGCAAAATCTCAAGTTTCACGTCTTTCAATGTAATATTTTTAGAAAAACAAATTTTTTTGTAAAATCCAAGCTGTAATATTTCAACTTGTTTCTAGGGAAGAGCACATATCTACGTTAGATTTGAATCATGGTTATGAAGATAGCTATTACAATATCATTTAACGCTTATTGTTTTGCTTTTAAAAAAAAAAAAAACTAAATATTAGTGCTTTTAATGATGATTCTCAGTCCCACGTAACAACATTCAAATTACTTTGTTTACCACTCCGTTATTTACCGCAATCTTTAGTGTAACGATACAAAGAAACTCATGCAATAATATAGTTTTATTAATTCATACAAATGAAGAAACAACATTTTTTTATTCATGAGAGACTCAAGGTGAACAGAAAGTTTACGGCACATAAAAAAATTTTTAGGATCAGTATTTTTTGTCACCTTACAAAATATCGTGATTCTAAATGTGATATGTATTCTTTAACTTGGATGCACCATTTTACTTGGATTCTGCGTAGTTAAACAATGATCGTTTATTTTTTCGAAAAATCGCAGCATTTATGGAGCCAGATCACATATCGAAGAGGTTCAGATCGAAGCGGTCAACTGGTACTAGTAGATCCAAGCGAGAAGCTCCGTACGTGATTTACCCCGAAATCCTCTGTATTGTGGACTACGATGGCTATAGGTAAGTGCACGTCAAATGAGTCTTTATTATCTTTGGTATTATTTGTTATTCTTATCTTTATCGCATGCTGCCATAAAAGTAATCCATATGTTTTGTTGATGCACATGTCTCGTGATCTTACTGATTTTAACACCTGTACGAGTACATCATTCATTGAATTTACAAGTTAATCCCATGACCAATTTCTTCTTAAATTGCGTAAAATAGATTTTTAAAAAATTTAAAAAAAATGAACAAAAGTTTAGGAATCCAAGACATGAAAAAATAAACACGCATTTAGAGAATTAATAGAAGATACGTATAAGTAGATAAAAAGAGAGCACCAACACTCATACAAACGAATACAGCATTTAAAAAATTTAAAGATTTTCACAAAAAAACTTAATTGAATATGTATGGATTTAGCAGTTAAATAATAAAGATACAAAGGAATAAAGACCAAAAATATCCAAGCCATCGAGATTTCGACTTAAAAACAAATATAAAAATTGTACAAAGATAGATGTCTATTGGTACAGTAAGAAACTGAAAAGCAAAGACATGTTGGCTTAGAAATAAAAGAAATATAAGAGCTAAGGTCAAGTTAAAATAAAAATATGAATCTTAACACTTCTGAGCTATTTTGATCATTAATTTCATCAGCATTAATTTGTTAACTTCAGCAAAGATTGCATAATCACAGTCTTATTATTTTCATTCTTTATGTCACACATGCATTACTAAGATTCTTAATTAATCGAGAAAACCTTTAACTAAGAAAAAAATCTAGTGATTCACAAATTTCTAGCAAAAATACATATGATGTACTATTATTTGTTCGCACGGGTTGGCATACAGAGTATAGATAGCAAAGGAAGCCCCTCTAATAAAACTAAAAACATACACACACAAATGTATATTTAGTTAATATTTGGATAATAAACGGTAGCCATAAAAATCTTGTTTTTGACTTTTTCCAAAGACAATTAATAAACCATTTTTATGTTTAAACATTACTTAATGTATTCATACGTCAAACTTATTTGACAATGATTTGTGTAAATATCAACCTTTTTTCATAGAAATTACTCTCAAGGTTCGTCTCGTACAATTAATTTTTAATTAGCACATACCTATCACGAAAACTGACCGTACTACTTGTGAGTATACTAAAAACTTTCGGCAAACAATCATTCGAATGAATTTGGTGTAAAATTTTTTCAACTCCAATCCTCTGCCCACATTCGAGTTTCCTAGAATAATCAGTACCACATGCAATATAGTTTTCTCAAAATTCTTGAAAGGATCTCCATTACTACTTTGGATTTCCAAAAAAATGGATAATATCGTCTCAACTTTTATGACTTGCGTTTCCACGTTTTCTCACTTGCAAGTACTATTGTCACATTCGCAGATTGCACGGCGGCGATAATGTGCAGATCAAACGATACTTCGTGTCGTTCTGGAACGGAGTGGATCTCAGGTACAAGCTGCTAAAAGGCCCCAAGATACGCATCAGCATAGCCGGCATCATAATTTCGCGCGTGAGTGTTTTTTAACTGCCAGAGATTATTTTCAGATGTGCAATTGTATACGTTATTTTAATGATTTTATTACTGTGCCAAGCCATTGTTTAATATCAAATCCTACATTTGACTAGTCAAATCTGGTTTTTGAAGCCCCATTCTTGGATGACATTTTCGGGTAATGAGACTTGATTTTTGTCACGCAGGGGAGAGACGCCACACCATACTTGGAGAGGAACCGCGTGGGACGAGATGCAATTGATTCGGCGGCAGCACTGACCGACATGGGCAAATACCTATTTCGAGAAAGAAGACTTCCGGTTTACGACATTGCCGTGGCCGTCACTAAGTAAGTGTGCCCTATTTTTCCTTACTATTTCATGTAGACTTTACTAAAATACTTAATGTATACATATATATTTACAACAAAAATTAAAAAAAAAAAAAAAATTGCTCAAACAGCGGTATTTTTAAAGTTTTTGCTGGAACTTTTTGTTAATCATACAGTTTTTTCCATTTATTTACTAATGATTTTAAAGACTAGAATATTGTACGACCTTAAACTTTTGTAAAAGAAATATTTTAAGAGCTTATGAAGTTGTTTAAATAATAAGATATAAAAGAATTATCTTTCATTGGAAACACAAATTTGAACTATTGGAAAATTATATGAAAAAACTTCCAAAAGACTTCAGCAAGTATGTTCTGACATTTTAAAAGTTATCTTTAAAAATGCAGTGTTTGAGACGTATTTTAAAAAAATAATAAGATGTTCAAGTATTTTTATTTGTAATTGATAAAAAATATTTAATTCTTGGTTGATTAATTCTCTTTATTTTTGTACATCTATCACGTTTCTGCTGACCACTGTTTTTTACCATTACTTGTACATAAAAGAAAATATTTACTTCAATTCTTTCATTTTATTCTACTACCACAGCGATTGTACATACTTTATACTTTGATGGTTTTTGCCTTTCAATTAAAAATAAACAATATTCAATACCAAATTTATTGTCGTAAAAAATTTTTAAATACAATTCTGATTACTATTCGAAGGATGACCATCAAAAGTATTGATATACATTAAAATCTTAAGCTGCACATGAACTTTGTCACTTTTAATTATCAATCTTTGCCATCATCAGACTATCTACGATCAATTAAGAGAAATAAAATACACGTATCGCATCTATTTAAATGCAATAAATCATAATCACTTAAATTAACTGCGTTTAGCAGTGCAGTCACGCAGGTATTTTACATTATTTAGCCCTACTAAGCTGTATGATGATGACTACATAGCGCCCATGTTACTTTTTTTTTCCATTTCGCAAAACAGGTATGATATGTGCCGTCGTAGGAAAGGCGGTCGCTGCACTAAGGGAACTGCCGGTATGGTTTATTACATAGCGATTCACGCTTTTCCTTTTTATTTACAATTATTACGCATATTTTTTTTATTTATTTTTTTTTTTTTATTGTCACTTAACAACTAGTTTGCCCGTTGTTACATGCGTGTCATTATATTTGTTGTTATTTGACCAACATCATACGTAGTTTGGATTCACCAACATTGTATATATATACACTTAACCATTTAATTCACATACTGGATACACCTATGGATTTTTTTTCACAAATAATAATTATTGCCAATAGGTGCACACATGGTTTTTTGTTAAGTGGGTCAGTGGTAACGACGTAACAGAGCGATTTTCATTACAACGTGCGTTAATTAACGAAACGCAGTTTTCTTTTTTCCTTAGTATTAGCAAACGTGACTTTTTTTCCTGTTACTCTTCATACAGTGGATTCAGACGGAATAATGAAAATCGTTTTTTACGTGGTGGACTGGACGTAGTATTTGTGGAGTCAAGACACGTGCTGTGAAAGTCGATCGCGTGCGCAGCCATTTAGTTGTTCCAACGTGAACACATATCTGCGTACCCATACGATGAAAAACGAACAGGAGACTCCTTTGTTCGTGCATAGTCTCCGTAGATCCCGAAATATTTTGATTGGCTTGATTGCCTGAGATTGGGTGACCAGCAGTTTGGCTATTAACCTTTTCTCTAACGTTTTTCGCGGCAATGTATTTTCTATTTTCTTGCGTTGATTTACATTCATGACCAAACTTGCTAGGGCATGGATACTTTTTTCAATATAATTGTGCTGTGCTAGAATTTTTTCAATAAAAATTTATTCTTACTACGAATATTTTTTCTACTATTGTCTAGCAAATAGTATTTTTTTAAAATTCATTCCATAAAAAACAATGTATTAAGTTTGAAAAAAAGACTTTTCAAGCAAAAAGTACTGTTAAAGAATTTAATAAAGTAAACTAAACATTTACAAAAATAATGTATATAACTAATTACATATATCATATATATCATAACTAATTACAGTAGTATTTTATTTCACATTATGTATGAAAGCCTATTAAATAATTGTTGTCAAGTCAATCGAGTACAATGAAAATAAACAACTGCGTACAACGACTGTCGAATGTAGGATGCAGTATCCTGCCAAAAACTTTTTTTTTTTTTTTTTTTTCATAGCACAAAGCTAGCATGCAGTAATGAAGGGGAAGTATGCAAAAGATTCCAGGTCACACAGACTGGGGTGCCGCATAACAGTTCCTCGTCTAGCCAAGGGGTCGAAAAATCACATATCGGCCAGCACGTGACTACATTTGCAGCGGCGCTTCCACGTAGAAATTTCAACTCCTTTTTTGTGTAAAAATACGTGTATTAACTATTATACGTGTGAGCCCGACTCAAGTATGACAGTCACGTGCTAGCTGCGCCTTACACTCACGCCTACTCGCGTGCACCTTAAATTTGTGTGTGTGTGTGTGTGTGTGTGTGTGTGTGTGTGTGTGTGTGTGTGTGTGTGTGTGTGTGTGTGTGTGTGTTCTTCAGTGGAACGTGCTCGGAGCAACAGCCACTTTAGTGAAAACAAGTACATATGTATCATGTAAAAATGTGACGTAACTCAACATTAATGTGCGTTGGTGATTTTTTTGATGAGTTAGTCAGGAGAAGGAATCTACAAGATTTAGCCAAGATTTACCTTACCTCCGAATGATAGACGAGATACTTTGGCAGCTGGATGTGTATACTGGATTCGAGGAAAGTTGTATTGTATTTGTAAATAGTCAAGAAGAGCGGATTTTAGTGGAAGCACTGCACCTGTACAAAAAAAAGGGGGGAAAAGTTAAAAGCTCCCACACGTGCATCATTGCTTTTTGTTTTTCACCGAAAAATCCACTGCACTTTTATGGCATCTCGATTGTGATGAGATTTTTCATCGTCTTTCCTTCCAATAGGTTTCGGCTATCTATACTTGCGAGGGAAAATGTTAGGAGTGAGGGATGAAATTAAAACAGCGACAAGTTGATTGGAGTAAAAAGAAAAATTGCGAAAAGATCTCAAATAAGACACAAGTATCCTCCAAATCATGCATCACCACTTTAGTATTTATTTTCTCTCTGGTTCAGCTTTCGCTTTCTAATTGATTTCCTAGGAAATTTTTTTCAATTTTTTTTTTAATCGTCACCACCCTTCAAACTTCCCTTCAAGTGGAGTCAAGAACGTGGAAGAAGTGCATCGTACAAAGTTACGTTCTTACGTGCATAATCTCTTTTTTCGTCTTCTTTTAAATAATGATAATGTTTCACCGTTGAGTCTCACAAGAAAATAGTGATGATTTAACGATAATAAAAGAAGCTTTTTTGTTGTTGCGTTACAGATTAGATATGTGCAGGAGGCAATACGCGAATGAAGTGTGCAATAGAGGAACCGCAGGTACGTTTTGTTCGTGAAAAATGAACAGAAAAAGCGACAATTTTTCAACACCGTATCATAGTATTATATATTGTATATGTTGAAACTATGACGCAGTATGCAACGAGCTATTGTCTTTTTTCCACCTGAACTCTTTCACACGTATTTTCTTCATAAGTACCTTCACCATTGGTTCGTTTGTGAGCTTATCATCTTTAGGCAACGAATTTTTGCTCACCACTTTCATTTTACTCTTTACTGTACAATATTTCAATACTCTTCAACGTATTTTCCAAATCTAAGCTTCTGGCACCTTATATGACAATGATACTTGCTATATCTGTTGTGTCTAATTTTTCACCTGTCAAATATTCATACCTGCAATCTGTATTATTTATACTATCTTGTTACCCATAAGTTTTAAAGCTCACTTTGGGTGATTTTAAGTACAAGAATCCGAACAGACGAGCTCCATTTACTAAAAAAAAATCTTGAGTGTACGTGGTGCACTACGAGAGCGCTTCAACGTCACTGAAAAATGCAATGTACACTGGATGGATTTTCGAAAATTTTTGGTAAAAGCAGCTCGTTCTTTCATTTTCCTAAAGAACTTCAAAGGTGTAATAGTGTTGGAATTCATAGTAACATATTGCTTGGACTCAATCTTGAGAACAAATAAAAGATCAGTAAAGTTAGTCATTCTTAACATAATATTGTTTTACCTAAGCTTCAACTAAGTTTGGACACTAACTTACAGACTACGGAAGTTATTCTTCAGTTAATTTGCGAATTTAGTTTTATTCACGCATGAACTAAATTTTTAAAAGGACTAGAGACGATTTAATTATTTTCGAAATCAAAGTTCATAAAGACTTCATTTTAATTTTGAGAGCGACTAAAAGAGAAGTTTAAGACTACTCAGGTATTTCTTATATTGCTTTTAAGGTAAAGAAAATATAGTTTCATCTAGATTTAAACTTAGTTTTACGAGTTACTTAAAAAAAAATTTTAAATATCTTAGGTCACTCTCAAAATCTTACAATTACAGTAGATTCCAACTATAACTTTGGTGTAGTTCAAACTAAATATTTAAAAATACATTCAAAACTCTCCAAAGACAACTCAAAATACTCTTAAGTTGCTTTTAAGCTTTAGTTTCATCCAGTTTTAAGCTTTATTTTAAGTACGGCTTAATAACGATGTAAAAATAGTTTATATTTTTTGTAAGCCATTTTTAAGTTCAAGTTTCACTTAAGTTGAAACTCAATCTTCAAAATAATCCTGGGGGTAACTTAGACATGCTTAAGTCACTTCTAGGATCTAGTTTCATTTATATTCTAATTCAATTTTGAGAACGATTGAAAGACAATTTAAAGGCAACCTTAGCCGTTCTCAAGATTTAGCTAATAGTATAAAACTTGAGTTTGAGCTCAAAAATGTTCTGAACGGTATCTCAGATTATTTTAAAGTTGCTTTAAAAATTTTGTTTTACTTGGGTTTATATTCAATCTTAACCAAAACTTAAAGGGTAATCTTAGGTAGCACTTTAGTCACCTTCATGATCTAGTTTTTAAACCAATATGGTACTATGAGTTCCAGCCTAAATCTACGAGTACAAGTTTCCTTCTCTACTCTCTTAATTATTTTTGTCTCTTGCTGTTCTACTATGTATCTTTTGCACAATCATGTTCACGCCTACATTAGTTTTAAATTTTTTCTCTTTTTCTGCCCACTTTCAACGACTGATTACTGTGGCACTTAATTTTTTCACATGATAAATTCATACGTATGATAAAAGATAAACGAATACAAGAAAAAATTGATGAGGAATTTTACGCTGCAGCACTTTCACTGTTACCTACGTGTTGGTCAATTATTATTTTTATTTTTCAAAGCGCTTTACCACGGCATTAACCAGTTATTATAAGATAATTTCCATGATTTTACAGTACTTGAGAGGAAAAAAAAAATGTTTTTCACGTTCACCAGAGAAAGTGCTGATAGTCTAGTTTTTACAAGCTCCCCAACACAGCGTCTCGCAGATACTTCCTGTGTCAAAATTATACTGTTGTAAAATCTCGTTGCGTAACACTTGTTGACTTTTACTTTCTGACATATTCAATCGATCGTCAATATCAGTTACACCTACCTGACATTATTATTTTTTTTCCAAGGATTCATTTGTTATTTAAATTTTTTTTAAAACATTCGCGTAATTGGCGCGAACAACTGCGAGACCTGGGATCACACAATTGTCAAATGTCCCTGAAGTCAGAGAGATTATTTAACGTGCCATGAAAAACGAAATACGTGTGTGTCTCGTGTGTACAGTGAATGTTGTGTTTTTCTCCCTTCTACTTTGCCTGTCACTCTAAAGAACCTTTTTGCTCTCTCTTTTTGGCTGCTGCCTTACTGACGTTCTGGAGTGCGGTCGGTAAGTTTCTTTGTGAGAAACAAAAAATATATATGTATTAATATGCGTATATAGAGTGACATTAAGGACACGCAAAAAAAGAGCCAAAACTTTTGGTCGGGCGAAATTTATCACGGATTGTAGGTTGTTATTTTCACGTGCATGTCAAACAGTTGAGGATTTTTTAGCAACCAAAAGTGATAATTTTGAGAATTGGAGTTTTCCATTCGTGTGTAACGTCGAATATGTGTGTTAAATCGATCGACATCGTTTGAAATGAGCATTCACGAAATGCATGCAGCTTACGCGGATTTAACAGCCAACAATTATTACCATAGTTAACGAATACTGCAAGAAGTACTACCTACGTTTACAACATGTTTAACGCTAACGTCGGGCTCGAACTAATTTCGCGTGGTCGTGTACTGCTTGAGCTTCGAATAATAAAAATTAAAGACCAATAACGAATTTAATAACGTTAACAAAGCTAACAGTATTACTTAACGAGGAATGCTTTCATTCTTCTACTTATAAATATTGTTGAAAAAAAAGAAATTATTTTATCACCAAAAGCGTGAGAGCATTTCTCTACAGTACATAATTAAAATAATATTTCGCTTCGTAATCAAAAACTCAAATCTAACCGCAAGTCCGAAACGAGCTTCTTCCGCCGAATCTCATAACCAACAAGTACTTATCCATGCTTTCCTTCAGCCTTTGACTAAATAATAAAAAAAAAAAAAAACTACCTAAGCAATAGTCATAGTAACCGTTTTCTACCAAACGCGTTTGAGCAGCACGAAAAACTGATGAAGTAATTCTCTGGCAAATAGGTTTTGCGTACGTGGGTGGTGCTTGCGTCGTCAACAAGAGACTGGAAAAAGTTAATTCTGTGGCTATAATCGAAGACACGGGAGGCTTCAGTGGCATTATCGTCGCTGCTCACGAAGTCGGCCACTTGTAAGTAAATTTTCACTCAGCTCTCTCTTTTTTTTTTTTTTTTTTTTCATTCATTTATATTGCGTCAACCATCGATTACCATGCCACTTGGATTATTAATACCAATGATAATAGTTATGATAGTAATTTTCAAATTTAAGAATTTCATGGATAGAAAGATGAAAGAGCATGTGACTAAGGTTGTTTGTAAATCGCGTAGGCTGGGCGCTGTGCACGATGGATCGCCGCCGCCGAGCTACCTTGGAGGACCGGGAGCTGAAAAGTGCCGCTGGGAGGACGGCTACATCATGAGCGACCTCAGGCACACGGAGAAGGGCTTCAAATGGTCCCACTGCAGCGTTTCGTCCTTCCATCACTTTTTGAAGTAAGATACATCGTTTCTTTTGTTGGGTAACTTTTTTTTTTTTTTTTTTTTTTTTTTTTTTTTTTTTTTTTTTTAATACATAAAAAAAAACGCAAAAACGCGATATTGCCAAATGAGAGTTAGGGCTTGTACAACAACTGCGAGCGTATTATCATGAGGGAATGCAAAAAATTTTCAGTGGGGACACAGCGACGTGTCTTTACAATGCACCTCACGAGGACGAGGCACTGCCAAGAGTCTTGCCAGGAAAGCTGCTGTCACTCGACGCGCAATGCCGAAAGGACCGAGGAACGAGCGCCTGTTTCGTGAGACCAATTTCTTTAACATACACCAGCTTTTATTTATCACGTGCCACTGATTCTAATGCCGTGTTTTCTCCTTTTTGCATTTTACAGAAAGATGATCGGGTGTGTGCACAGCTTTTCTGCTTCGATGCCGGCTCAGGCTACTGCGTGGCGTATCGACCAGCAGCTGAGGGATCGCCTTGTGGAGACGGCCAAGTGAGTGTTTGTTGATACGCTATGAAAGGTTTTAAAATACCTGCTTCGGTGCAGCAAAGTTTTTGGTTTTTCAAAGTTTTTTACTGTGTTTTACATGTGTCGTACACGTAATATGTATTACGTTTGTAGTTCAGTACGACAAATGTAATTCGTAATTACATTTTGTTAAACAAATTTGGATACATACTACCCTTGACATTTTTAGTTAAATAACAATATAAGACTTGTATGATTTGCAGTTAAAAACATTCTTAACTATATTTTGTATGAGGATTCAAAAATTTTACATATAAAACATAATATTGTTTTACCTAAGCTTCAACTAAGTTTGGACACTAACTTACAGACTACGGAAGTTATTCTTCAGTTAATTTGCGAATTTAGTTTTATTCACGCATGAACTAAATTTTTAAAAGGACTAGAGACGATTTAATTATTTTCGAAATCAAAGTTCATAAAGACTTCATTTTAATTTTGAGAGCGACTAAAAGAGAAGTTTAAGACTACTCAGGTATTTCTTATATTGCTTTTAAGGTAAAGAAAATATAGTTTCATCTAGATTTAAACTTAGTTTTACGAGTTACTTAAAAAAAAATTTTAAATATCTTAGGTCACTCTCAAAATCTTACAATTACAGTAGATTCCAACTATAACTTTGGTGTAGTTCAAACTAAATATTTAAAAATACATTCAAAACTCTCCAAAGACAACTCAAAATACTCTTAAGTTGCTTTTAAGCTTTAGTTTCATCCAGTTTTAAGCTTTATTTTAAGTACGGCTTAATAACGATGTAAAAATAGTTTATATTTTTTGTAAGCCATTTTTAAGTTCAAGTTTCACTTAAGTTGAAACTCAATCTTCAAAATAATCCTGGGGGTAACTTAGACATGCTTAAGTCACTTCTAGGATCTAGTTTCATTTATATTCTAATTCAATTTTGAGAACGATTGAAAGACAATTTAAAGGCAACCTTAGCCGTTCTCAAGATTTAGCTAATAGTATAAAACTTGAGTTTGAGCTCAAAAATGTTCTGAACGGTATCTCAGATTATTTTAAAGTTGCTTTAAAAATTTTGTTTTACTTGGGTTTATATTCAATCTTAACCAAAACTTAAAGGGTAATCTTAGGTAGCACTTTAGTCACCTTCATGATCTAGTTTTTAAACCAATATGGTACTATGAGTTCCAGCCTAAATCTACGAGTACAAGTTTCCTTCTCTACTCTCTTAATTATTTTTGTCTCTTGCTGTTCTACTATGTATCTTTTGCACAATCATGTTCACGCCTACATTAGTTTTAAATTTTTTCTCTTTTTCTGCCCACTTTCAACGACTGATTACTGTGGCACTTAATTTTTTCACATGATAAATTCATACGTATGATAAAAGATAAACGAATACAAGAAAAAATTGATGAGGAATTTTACGCTGCAGCACTTTCACTGTTACCTACGTGTTGGTCAATTATTATTTTTATTTTTCAAAGCGCTTTACCACGGCATTAACCAGTTATTATAAGATAATTTCCATGATTTTACAGTACTTGAGAGGAAAAAAAAAATGTTTTTCACGTTCACCAGAGAAAGTGCTGATAGTCTAGTTTTTACAAGCTCCCCAACACAGCGTNATTTTCTAAACATTTACTATGGTAGTATAAAAATATTTTCACGTACAGTATTTCAAATTAATGTTTTACATTTATTATAAAAAAATAACATTATAAAATGCAGTATCACAAAAATATCTACTTTGCAGTTCTCAAAAAAGAAAAAAATTTTGAAGTTTTTGGACACTTACTAGACAATATTAACTTTCTACTTAATCTCTACAGCAAATATATATCTATTTTTGAATTTAATATGGTTCTTAGATCTTCTGAATAATAATCCTAAGTTTCAAGAAGATATAAACCGTTTTTTTTAATTAATTACATAAAGTTAGAGAGCAAATTAAATATTCCAGCAGTATTACGTTTTTTAGTATAATACATTATTTTTTAATATATTATTGTATTATATATTATAATGCATTCAATTAAAACATTAATTAATGTAGAATAATTATTTATTATTGTTATTAATATAATAATACAATTGGCACAAGAGGATAATTCATTGAAATATGTTGATTGTTCACACAAAACAAACCGTGTAGTATTGAAGTGATTTCATCGTGAAAGATTCATTTTCTTGATAATCATAAAACATAAATTATCAGAGGGGAAAAATTTGAGTATTACTGTGCACCAAACAGGTATCCATGGGCCAGTACGACAACGCGTCCAAGCTCGTACGATTTGGCGTACAAATACACAATGCCTTACGCGTCGACCTCAAGTAGTGCAAGCTACGAGGAGATCGGCGTAACAACACCGTACTACACAACGGCTCCGACGCCATTCTCATACAACTCGCGCTACAACTCCCATCACCACTCGACAATCAGTAATTTGATAAATGACGACCAACAATACAAGAAACTCAGTTACAATTACGATAGTAACGATTACCAAAATTACAACTCGCACACAAGCCGCGCTACCACGAGGAGGATACCTTACGAGTACAGCTCGCACTCGACTTACAGTAGTACCTCGAACGATCTTGGCTACTCAAAGTCCACGCCTTTCAGGTACCAAAGCACTACCGCGAGATCGACCTCGTACTGGTTGTCCAGTAGCGCTGGTGCTCAGTACTCGTCTCACGACCGCGCCCACGGTAAGGAGCCTCTACGACTCCCAGCATACGAATGTTTATTTTTATCGTATGCTGGCCCCTGTCATCTTTGTCTCGTAAAACCTTACATATACTTCGCTTCCAGCAACCCCCTGTTTTTATCTCCTTTTTTTTCTATACGGGATAAACGCTGTATATTACCTCGCCTTCTATGGTTTACCCTTGGAAATTCTTTGGTACTTTTCTTCAAGATGTTTTGCGTTTTTACAATTTTCTGCACAAATCACCATGAAATCTCTTTCATCTCATCGACTGGAAACTTTCTTGCTCCAATTTCAATTTCGTTCACTTTTGTTAGCTGACGCTTATTTTGCCACTGCTGTCTTCGCTATTCCCTCTAAAATTTACTCTTCAATGATCTTTGACTACTCAATACGTTGTTCCAGGTAGAATTCTACTTTTTTAGTACAACGTTACTTGTGAGCAAATTTGTTTTTTTTTTTTTATTCTTATCTCTATAATAAAATATAAATGAGTGTTGTGTTCTCAAGACTACTTTATTACATGACTTTCAGTCTCTAACCTTTTTTAGTTTTTAAGTGTACAAAAATTCTTCAGGTCGAAATATGCTCATGCATGCCTCTTTTTGTATCATTATCATATGACTCAAAAATATTTCATCATAAATCTTTTCAAATTCTTATTTCTGGTATGGTTAGTGGAATTTTGCTTTAAATTACGCACCTGATTTTATTCGTTTCTTATGCATCTCTGGTACTATCGATTTTAGAGCATTTTTATTTTTAGTTGACCAGGAACATTGCAACAAAAAAATATATTCCAAATAGAAGAATATTACTAGTTGTTTCTGCTCTTTGGTTAATTGTTAAATTTGAAAATTCAAAAAATTTGTACATAGGGTATTAGGTTAGTCCTTTTCTTTCTAATACTAAAAATCGACTGTTTTAAGTCTCCTCTGGCATACACATATTGTTCTAATTTCAGTTATTTCACGTACTTGGGACTCTCGAGTTAATAATAAACTATAATTTACATCCTTGACTTACAATTTATGGTATGGCTAAATTTTACACTTTTCATTCTATTCACACGTAAACATACTCTTGGTAATACAATCTATAAAATAATGTTGTTGTCACTAATACAACATAAATACCGAAAACAATAATTTTATTTAAAATTTTTTTTTTCATAAAATACATTAAACTAATAAAAACTTCTAAAAATACTATAGAATCACAGAAAATATCCTGTACATCAATAGGCTCTTCATTATATCCTAAATTTTTATGATGACTAGTAATAAAATTGATTTTAATCACAAAATATATTTTTAATTTATAGTGGAAAAACATTTGACTATCCGTTTTACTGATTTATAGCTTTTAAAATTAAACATCTAATTTCTAAAGTAATTTGTTTCTATCTCAAACTCAATTAGATTTTACTATTGTTTTTTTTAATCAATAGTTACACAGTTATAAACAACTACAGTATTAACAAAATATATATTGTTTATTCAGTATCCATACAGTAGATAGGTAAATTATTAAAATATAACTTTAATCCATACTGACAAATTTAAGATTTCAAGGTAACGAATCACCGTCGTGCTGATAGGTTTACGGGCATTGCATTACATAAAAGTATACGTCCGATTGACATGAAGATTTTTAAATAATTTTTAAATCGTTTATTACCAAAGTGACGAATAAAGAAATTTTTATTATAAATCAACAACATACAGGAGATTTGTTTAAATTATTACATAAAAATCTAATGAGTGGTTGAATTTTTTTAAATTACATTATAATTTGATAAATCAACGTACAAAGAAATATGTACTATTTTTGTAACCTCAAACAGTAGATACTTATTGTTTATCAGACAACGGTCGGACACTTATTACTCGTAAGAATACCGATATACACAAACACGTATGCAACACAGAAGAAAAAATGTATGGACAATCGTAAAATAATTATATTTTTTTATTGTTAGTACTGCCTGAATGGAAAGTGTGTTGCCGAGCACGAAAACATTATTCCCGATTACACACAGAACATACCGATGTACGTGCAGCGAGAGAACCTTTACAACGCCCCGACGCAAAGTCGGTCATTGTACACGCGATACAATACCAGTACGACGGAATACAGGTAAAGTATTCAACTTTATAAGTTCGACTCATTTGGCACACGTGTGTTTCACTATAATTACATAGGCAGTTACAATAACGATTACCAATTAAATGGGTAGGAAGAATTAATAAATGTAACATATAAAAATAAAAATTATATGTAATGAAATTAANGTTTTTAACCCCATCATTTTCTAAACATTTACTATGGTAGTATAAAAATATTTTCACGTACAGTATTTCAAATTAATGTTTTACATTTATTATAAAAAAATAACATTATAAAATGCAGTATCACAAAAATATCTACTTTGCAGTTCTCAAAAAAGAAAAAAATTTTGAAGTTTTTGGACACTTACTAGACAATATTAACTTTCTACTTAATCTCTACAGCAAATATATATCTATTTTTGAATTTAATATGGTTCTTAGATCTTCTGAATAATAATCCTAAGTTTCAAGAAGATATAAACCGTTTTTTTTAATTAATTACATAAAGTTAGAGAGCAAATTAAATATTCCAGCAGTATTACGTCTAAAAGAATATTTTACTGGTTTTTCAACATCATGCTAATATTTCATTAACGATATTAAATTTAGGTACAGTTTGAAAATTTATTTAACATTTTTTTCAATAAAACTTTTATACTGTAAAAAATATACAAGCTACAAAAAGCGTTCTTGGTTTAAATTTATTGATCTTTTATTCACAAACTACGAAGAAAATTTCCTTTTTATCATCCTTGTAGTAGAATTTTTGTATTGTTCACAAAGAACTTAAATGAATAATAAATATGAAGCACGCCTAATACTTGCGCCATTGTTAAATAATTTTCTTGTAAAAAAACAAATTGAGAGTAAAAATTAATAAAATTACCACAAAGTTTTGGTGACTGCTGAGTGGACATTTTACGTAAAACATCTTGCATATAATTACATATTAGGTTATAGTTATTTATTTTTCGGTTTGGCATTAAGTTTAAAAATGGTTTGTCATGACATTGTTTCGATATAGTCATACTAATGAATTGATGAGATGAATCCTAATGTATGTTTTGTTTATAACAAATGCAGAAACAGAGGCCGGTGAATGCCGGGACAAGGAGGGTACGAACTGCGCGGAGCTGATCAGCAGGCTGAGGATATGGCTGTGCCGTCTGCAATCAGTGAGAGCCGACTGTTGCGAGTCTCTGAAAACAATTTGCTGAACAAAACCAACACAACGACCGGTGAACAATGCAAAAAAACACGCAAACGCAAGGGGACACGAAGAAAGTGGCTCGATATCGCGCTTGAACGAAAATGCATGATCGGAGTCACTAAAGTGACTAAGAAGCTGAGGACAAGATGTGAATGAGAATAGAAAAAGTGAGGAAGAAAAAGAAAAAAAAAAAAATACGAATGAGCGAAAGTGCGATTGCAACGAGGTGGTGTTTGCATCACCGTGCGCAGTAACTTTGTGTGATTGGGATTGTTATGCTGAAATGTGAATGCGATCAGAAGGACAAGTGAAAAGAGAACGAAGAAAAAAAAATTTTATAGAATGTAAACGCGTTCTGCGAACGGCACCATGTTAAAATCCCTAATTATTTTTCTTGGTCTTTATCCCCAACGAGCGAGGTGAAAGAGTGTTTTATATATACATACGCATTTAGAAAAAAAAAAAAAAAAAAAAAAAAAAACCATAAGGAACAAAAATGAAATGAAAATTTCATGTAGAGCGAGAAAAGTTTCATTAAAAAATAGCGATAAAGAAAAAAGAAGGATACCCGTCTCGATAGAGGCATATAGAGAAACTCTGCATCTCTTCTTCCTTCATCATAACTTTTACCCTAGTAGACCATCCCCTGCTCCACCTGCACCTTACCTTCTTCACTCCCCTGTTGAAATTCCTCTGTTTTTTTTTTTGTATCCCATTCCTACGAAAAACATGAAGCTAGTAGTAAGGTTTTTTTTTAAGTAAAGAAAGCAAGAACGAGAGGTGGATTGAGAGGATGTAAAAGACGGTAAAATAAAGAGAAAGAGAGAGGAGGGAAGAAAATAAAAAAATAAAAAGTGATGTACTTTATTCGCTTTTTGGGGCGAGCTTGCGCAATAGCAACTCAACGCGTGCCCTTTTTTTACTCGTACACCGAGAAAATCACGAGAAATGTCTCGCTCCTCCTTCCCTCTCTATTCCCAATGTTTGATTTCCCCTGCCACCTTAATACCACTCCACCTTGGCCTCTATCCAATACTTTTCCTTTATATTTTACTTCTTTTTTTTTTCTACCTCTAAGTCTGTATTTATGTGCGACATCGTCGAGGCTTGACTCCTTGGCGCACGATAGTGTATTTCAAATTTATTACTTTTTTTTTGTTTTTTTTTTTATTTTTTTTTATTTTTAATTTTTATTGTAAAGTATGTTTTTTAAGCGTCGAATAACGCGCGCAACGACGACATCCCAGCAGTTTATATATACGTTTGTTACCATCGGATCAGCAAAACTCACCGACAAACAATTATTGTAAACGAAAATCATTGTAGCATAAAGAATAAACTGTAGAGTTTAATAATATAGTAATAATTGCTGTAATTCATTTGTTCCCTTCATTGATACCTGATCGTCTAATACAATATGTTTACATATCGATTCTGAACTTTGCACGTATAATACATGTGAGATTTTTTTATTTATTAAGATATTCTATTCCTTACGATTTTTATGTTGTTCAAGGAATACCTGCCCGCGCTACCACGAGGAGGATACCTTACGAGTACAGCTCGCACTCGACTTACAGTAGTACCTCGAACGATCTTGGCTACTCAAAGTCCACGCCTTTCAGGTACCAAAGCACTACCGCGAGATCGACCTCGTACTGGTTGTCCAGTAGCGCTGGTGCTCAGTACTCGTCTCACGACCGCGCCCACGGTAAGGAGCCTCTACGACTCCCAGCATACGAATGTTTATTTTTATCGTATGCTGGCCCCTGTCATCTTTGTCTCGTAAAACCTTACATATACTTCGCTTCCAGCAACCCCCTGTTTTTATCTCCTTTTTTTTCTATACGGGATAAACGCTGTATATTACCTCGCCTTCTATGGTTTACCCTTGGAAATTCTTTGGTACTTTTCTTCAAGATGTTTTGCGTTTTTACAATTTTCTGCACAAATCACCATGAAATCTCTTTCATCTCATCGACTGGAAACTTTCTTGCTCCAATTTCAATTTCGTTCACTTTTGTTAGCTGACGCTTATTNGTATAAAATTGTAATTGATATAAGCAGAAATTAAGAGTTAAAAGGATGTACATAAGCTGTATCATTTTCTTTGAAATTGTTGTTACAACTCACCGCTATATACTTACTTGCACAAATAAATTGGTATTTACTCATCTACAGCATAACAGTACGGAGTAGAACTGACTTGCAATTTTTTTTACTTCCTTAGATTATAAAATTCAAGGATAGAGCATTGCAAGTAGAAAAACATCGTCAGTTGTGTGAGATCCGTTAGGCAGTTCAGATTAACAAGCAAGCTTTTCTGTCAAAAACAAAAGCAGACTCCTTACACATTACAAACTTTTATTTTAAGCATCAATTGTCACACTTTTAATTTTTTCAGTTTTATTTTATTTCAAAACAGTGTTTATGGTGTGATAAAATATCGGTTTTTAAGTTTTTTCCTCCAATACAAAGTGTATTTAATAAATAGCACGTTATAGATGTGGAGTACCAAAGACCATTTGATTTTTTCCGAGCATTTATCATTATTTAAATGTAATTGGCTGAATCTTATAAGCCCTTCAGAATCCTTTTTGATTTTTTGTTTACGCACAATTTTATGAAATATTTTGAAACCCATATTCCCAAACCCAAAACAAATTTGATTTCACATAGTTTCATCGGAGTACAAGAGAATAAAATCTTAAGGTAAACTTTAGAAATAAATAACTATTATATTACCAGTCACAAATGTTTATATCCATGAAATAAATAATTTTCACAGCCACTTGAACGATATATAATACTATAGTGAAAGAGAAGCTGTCATTTACACAGTTAAAAAAAAATTTTCTTCGTAAAATTATTCGTGAGTCACTTCGCTCATTATTTGTATGCAAACAATTTCAATACTTCATATTATTTGTGTACATTTGAGTTAACTGTAATTTAACAACAGTGCCAAATTACATTATTTAAGAATTAATTAATCATTTTAAAAATAACACTGGTAAATTTTATTAATCGCTGAGTTTATGAAAAATATCATTCAATACCTTCAGAAGTAAATGGTTCTTTAAGGAATCAAACAAACACACATGTGACTGCTCATTTATTTATCATGGCTTAGAAAAACTAATAATTTAAAAACAATTAGCTTTATTTCACGCGTCATGTTGTTTATTTTATTTATTTATTTTTTTCGTTATCCGCTTAACCTTTAGTTTTCAGACAGAAAAGTGACGAAATGTTAAAGTTCTTTATTTGTCTACTAGTGACCTCAAGTAACGGCATTCAGGTATCTAAATTTGTTGAAAATTGTATTATCACTCTATTATTTTTATTATTATACTCATGCATACTTATTTCTGTGTTCGAATGGGACATAGTAGCCTAGTGATGTAGTAATTTCCGATGAACAGTTGGCATCGATTTTTGGAACAAAAAAAGGTAACGTAACGTACCACCTTGACATTGAAAATTTCGTATCTAAACTTAACTGAAAATAAATCGTTATACTTTAGCTCCTAATTACGAAGTTGTCAGTACTGCATATTCCACCAATGATAATGCGACAAATGCAGACGTCCGAGTATTACAAATAACGAGTTTGAATCGGGATATTAGACTGTACTTGGAACCCGTTAACGGAGTTTTGGCTGGAAAAGACACGCCTGTTTGGGCAGTACAAAGCCATAGGGATGCCCCATTGGGTGTAAAATACACTCAAATCCCTAATGTGAGAAGCAAAAAAGTATTTTAAAATCTTCAGTAAAATGGCACTGTAAAAAGGGACGCTAAATTAAATTTCAGGCGATAAACGATGCTATCCAGGTTTACCAGGACTCCCACCAGAAGGCAGCCATAACGAGTAGATGCGACGAGAACGGCAACGTTCATTTTGTAAGTCTTAAATCAAAGGTCCACGTTATGAATGATCGGACAACGCGATTGTCTAGTGTGGCATTAGCGTGGTAATGCAATAAAAGAAACTTGAATAATAGGAGGGAACCATTGGCGATAATTTAGTTATCCGTCAGTTGCCGAGTGAATTACGAGTTAAATTGTTGAGAGGCAGACGCAGCGCGTCCCTGCATAACGATTTTCCGCAAAACTTCCGCACGACGTATCGCGACGATCTCGAGTATGATCATGTACTCATCGAGATACCGGAGATGTCGGTCGACCGAACGCGAGAAAGTAAGCGTTGAGAATTTTTTTGATTCACCTTTTCTCAGTAACGAAAAGTTTATTTTATTCAGCTTGTGGTGGTCATTTTAGAAACTGGTCCGTATGTTTCGAAAAGGGGACCGTCACGGCCGAAACGCGACATGAATGTGCCAGCAACGATTTTTCCGCAGATCTTGGTAGTCATCGATTATGACATCAGATTGTAAGTAAGCAATCGACAATACCTTCTCTCATTTTGTGCGATGACTTTTTTTCTCGTAAAAAATGCGACTACAATGGTTTTAACATGAGATGGAGATTTAAAATAATTTAAGATTAATTGGAAACTACAACAATCTAGTCGATGATAATTGTTTTAGTTACTCTGGAAATTTTATAATGAACATATAGAATTTATTAGTACAAGTCGTTTTATACAAATTGATTTTTAATAAAGTTTTGGAAATATAATGCCAGTTAAAGTGCTATTAATTTTTTTTTCAAACTTTTTTTTGAAAAGTAGTGCAATCAATAAAAACCCTTTGTTACTCTTAAATATACTCAAATTCAAGATTGTCAACGTGATGCTTACACCTTTTTATTTATGTATATTTTTTATAGTCTTTTGATATTTTGTTTTACTTTTTTGTGTCCTCTTCCCGTTTTTTCTTACTAATTTATTTTTGTTACGAGTTTTTCTTTGGCATCCTTATACAACGACATCTTTATCAATATAATTTTTGTTGTTTCCAGTTATTATTTTTTTGTTTAACATTGACTAATCCTTAAAATCACGATACATCAATGCACTTATCATGTGTGACTACCGATGGTACAATATGGTGATCTGGGCCAGTCTGGTTTTGAAAAATCAGCACCTCTTGATTTTTAAATCAAAATTTTCTTCACCCTCCAGATAGTTGTCAGCTGGTTCAAGTATACATACACTTTTTTACTAAGAAAAATACAAGATAATACTGTATAACCAAATTGGGATGAATCGTATACACGATAAAATATGTATCAATCAGTTGACTTGGAGTACCTCATTGTACTAATGTACTAAATTACTTTATAAAAAAACTGAGAAGTATACCTTTTTGTTTGCTAAGGGCCTTGCCAAACTCCAAAGCATTGATGCAGTACATTTTGTCATTTTGGAACGCAGTTGATTTACGATATCGAGTTTTTGAAAACCCAAACATCCGCATAAACATCGCGGGTATAGTCATACCAGTGGTACATGGCAGCTTCTAATTGTTCGACGTAACTCCAGGGATTATTCACAAAATGTCAAGTCAATGTTATATTCCAGGATGCCAACGCGACTCCTTATCTGACGGATCATCGGTTCTCGGACCCCGAAGGACTCGCCAGCGTCGACGCGGACAAAGCCCTGAACCACTCGGGAAGATACTTTTACGACGAGATGACGAACACAAACGCAAAGAGATTAGTTCTGGCGGATAATTACGATGCAATCATGATAATGACCAAGTATGACCATATTAAATTATCACTCGGCTTTGTGTCTTTGTATTTCGATCTCGAGTGTTAACCAATCCATGCATATTCAATAACGTGAAATTTTCCGTTCCACAGATTGAACTTGTGTAACCGCGAGCCCGCGGGCAATAACCCATTTGACGACTGTGCCACCTTAGGTATGCGTATCATCGTACATAATTCCAAGATTACGTGAAGTTTCGGAGAAAAATCTATGATAATTTATTCTACGATCGTAGGCTATTCCTTCCGCGGAGGCGCTTGCTCGGTAAACGCCGTCGAATCACTGGTAGAGGCAGTAAGCCTTGTGGAAGATCGCACCGGGTACACGGGAATTGTTCCAGCTGCCCATGAACTTGGACATTTGTAAGTGATGAATAAGTTCTGCTCGTACACTTTCTGCTCAATTGTTGTGTGGAGGGCTTGTAATGAACTGTTCTCCAGCTGATGACTAAAGTGAATGTGATTGTCCTTCACTACTGGACAATCCATCGCTAGATGATAAGCCAAGGATACTTTTGTCAATTCATTTCCCTCTTAAATTTACAAGCATCTGTATTTTCTTTTCTTTTTTTTTTTAGATTTAAAGTATAGATAAAAGATAGAAAGTACAATCCATAAAATCTGTGGTGTGGTGAAAGACTCAATATTAGCTTAAAAATTTTAAAGGAGTGATTTAACAAGAAGACATCACACTACAGGTGTTGGCTCAATAGACGCAATGATTGAGCTTTTTTTCTTAAATTAAGTAACACATTTGAATATCTTTTGGGAGTCGTTGACAAGCTATATTCGTCATTGCATCAATCTTACGTGTTCAACGCTGCGTTTACTAAGCGCTTTTTTAGTTTTGTATTGTAATGTCAAATGCTTGTAAGTTTTTAAATAATGATATCAATTTTTAATAAAAAATACCAGCTAATACCTACTTTGCAAACTCAGGAAGATGCCAAATACCTGATTACCAATATTTCTTAGTCTCGTTTGGTATTAAAGAAATTTGCAAAGAATAACTTATTAATCACATAGATAAATCCGACACGTATGATTTATCTCCGTGGAATATAATATATTGCAGATTCGGTGCTCCTCATGATGGATATAAAGAAGCAAACAAGTTACTTTGTCCTTCGTACGGATACATTATGTCTCGCAGCTTGACGTTCAATGAAAATTTATTTATTTGGTCCCATTGCAGTGCGGAGTATTTGAAAGAGTTTATTCAGTAATTGCCAATGATTTCAAAAATATTACACAAATGGTTACAACCGAGCAGTTAAAGTTACATTTTTTCCTCCACATTTTTAGCTCACCCAAAGCCGAGTGTCTGTTTAATGAGCCTCACGCAGGCTCGATAGCACCCCGTATCCTGCCGGGGAGAATCTTGTCGCTTCACGAGCAATGCAAGAGGATAGGAGCATCGCACGCTTGTAACGTAAGATTTTTTTTGGGATGGCTCGATTTTGTTTTATGTAAAACACAAATATAGAATTTTAACTAATCGAAATTGACGTATAGTAATTTTTGACATGTATCTATTTTCAGCTCGATAGTAGTGTATGTACTCACTTGGACTGCTTCGATCGTCAAGTTGGTCTGTGTATACCAATTGCTGCAGCTGCTGAAGGTTCTTCTTGTGGTGCACAACATGTAAGTTCATCGCCCAATAAAGTAGTGGTAATCATTTATTCTTTTGGAAATACATTTTTCTTTTTCGTTTTTAAGTTCTGCATAAACGGGAAATGCGTACATGAGACGACGTTAACAATTCCATTGGAAATTGCATCGCTACCCGACCAATCCTCGACACCCGCCAGATTATAGAGACGTGTAACCTAATCTTTGTTTGATACACGTGTATGGTGCAACAATCATCAACAACGCCATCGAATAACGCGCAATGGTTATCCAGGCTGCTGCCAAATGCTGACTCTAATGTATACTGTACCTGAGCTGTTGTACATAATCTTATCAGTGAGCAAATGTACGTGGACCTCGTAATGATTTGTCAAATTGTACATGAACATAACGAAGGATATTCAATAAAAACAACACTCATACATATACCCAACAGTTGTCACCGAGCCACGTGCAACGGAGAGAAGTAAACATTAATGTTGTTCAATCACGACCAGCAATTCGATCTAGATTTAATAAGCGAAGCGATAAATTTCGCAATGAAAACGGAGGGAAGGGCAGAGCTCATATTACACTTGGGGGGGGGGGGGGGGGGAAATCAAGGCAGGAGCAATCTCGCTACAGACTCGTGTAGGGGTATAGCCGTGCCGCGGAGCACAGAGAGGAAAAGAAGGTACAGCAAAGATATAGCTTGGTGTAGCGCGGAGGCGATACGAGCAACGAAGGACGGAGACAGGAAGACACGGCCGGCTCCTCTCGTTTAAACGGGATATGTGACGTGGGAAATAAAAGAAACAAGGCGCACGTGGGAGGGCGGCCGGCGCTGGTGGTGCCGAATTATTAAAGCCCGCACGCGGAGGAGCAGAGTGGAGTATAGGTACAGGGAGAGTCTCGTGGAAAATGAGCCCCGGTCGAGGTGACATTTGGCTCCGGGGGTGCGCCGTTGCTTTTTTATATTCAGGTCGGGGTGTGCGCGCCTGCGACGACGTCTCTCCCTTGTACACGTAACGTCTTGGGAGCGTAAGCCACCCACGGGGCGGGAAGATAGAGGGGGCTGTGCGGCGAAGGGAGGGAAGAAAATGGATAATATTCTCGCGCGTGTATGTGCGAGCGCGCACCTTCAGGAATACGAACGAGCGACGGGCGGACAGGTGACCTTTTTTATTTTCCCTCTTCCTATGCCTCGGTCGGTCTTTTTTATCTCCGGCTCTGGTCCCTTCTTCTCGAGCCTTTTTCCTTTCACTTTTTTTTTCCCCCCCTCGCGTAATTCCTAGCCTATTGCTTTCTTGTAGTTCACGCGGGAGATGATGCTGCTACCGTGTCTTCTTGAGAACTTTCGAAAGCTGGATCGCTGCGAGATTTTTGAATAACTACTTTTCATCGGGTTCCTCGACCATTTTTTTCCAAGTGTTCATTACATATCGTGATGACGTAAAAGGAATTTGTCTTTTGATGCATACATTTAAGGTTATGGTGCAAGAATGATGAGTAGAGATAAAAAACTCTTTTTGGTTTATTGTTTCGGTGATTTTTTTTTCTATGGTTAAATGTTCTGTCCTCTCTTAGTGGTTAGTATTGCAAGTAAAATATTTTGTTGCAACTTTTTGAAAAATGTCATGCATAGGGATGTGGCTGCTTTTGAAAAAAAAAACTTTTTCTGTGAAACATAATATGTCACAATACTCAATCATGTTAAGTAATATTTTTACAGCACTTATCTGTTTAATGGTTGAGTTACTGAAATATTTAGATCTATGGTAGATTTTGTATGGAGATTGAAATAAAAAATTTGGCATTTTACAAAATATTTATTGAAAATTCAAGTAACCAAGAAAAAATTTGTGTATCAAATGTTAAAAGTTTAGTTACAATTTGCTTAGATTGATTGAGGCATACTCTTATTTGGCTGAGAAAATTATTTTATCTAGTAAAGTTTCTTATTTCAATACCATAGATATGATATGCCTACATCTTAAAAACCCAAGAGGCATAAAATTTTTTTGAGTTCAGGTAATTATTTTTTCTAAATGAATTGTAAAACCCTAAGCTTTTAATTTAAAGTATTTAAAATGAGAACTTTTTAAGGGAATTTTCGAAGCTGAGCACTCACAAAGACAGTAAAAAAAATACTTTCAAAATCTTTGAAAAATCATTAAAATTTATTCGAAGTCACGCAAGGCTTCGAAGGTTTTTGACTTCGTTCTATTACTTGAAGGACGTTCTACCGATACTTCCAATGCTTTTACGCTGTAAAAAGAAATTTAAAAAAAAAACTGTTTTGTGAAAAATAATTAAAAATTAGAACCATAAAAACCATAGAAAAGCAGGTATACGTTGTAATTTTGTAATTATGCGATTAGCATTGTTTACTGACATTTTGCGATTAAACTTAGTTTTAAAAAATTATTACAAAAAACCTATACCGGAGTAATCGATTTTATTCAAGGTTTTTAGAATACAACCAGTAAATCTTTTAAAAATATAATTAAAATATAATATATAGATCAACGTTTTGCACAGACGTTAAGCGCACTTATCATATGAGATGCTCTAAAAAAAATTGATACATTAATTGTTATACGTTGTAATAATACTTTTTATCGTTATTAAAATAGGCTGAAAATTACATTGTATTGATGTTACCAATTCTCAAATTAGAGAATTTTTGTAAAATTCTAATGTGTCGTACAATTTGCAATATATTTGTCATAGTTAGTCATAATGTTTGATGAATGCAATACTTAGATTGTGTAAAAAAATAGAACATTGATCAAAAATAGCATTGCTGTAAAACCAATATCTCCTTAAAAGTATTATATTTAAAATACAGCGAACAAGGGAAATTTAAATGGTAGATTGCGATTAACAAGAAATGTATGTTTCTCATGGGTGGGTTATCTAACGTTTAAGGTAAGTATGAGAATGATCGCCCCTAAAATTAATAATGCATGAGTAGAGACACGGCAATCGGTCCCCTCCTCTGGAAAAGATTCGTAAAATTACGTCAAAGCAAGCGATTTACATGCGAAGATCCAACCCTACGATTGGAAGATGATAATTATTTTTTTTTTGGAAATCGATAAACCGGACAAGTTGTAACAAAAAAAAGGTGAAGGTGATCGACATGCTATCGTTAGGCCAAGCAAATCTTTTTCGATGGTGGGAGATGCTGGTATAAAAAGCCTGAGGAAATCGCTTCCAGCACATTCAGTTCTCTGCTCATCTTCTAAGATAGCACTGCACAGTCTATTCCTTCACCAAGTCAACATGAAAGTGGTAGGTACATTCGAATTTTTGTAAACAATTATTTGTCATGTGATTATTTATTATCTTGTAAAAAGATAAAGAGAATTTTTTTTGTTGCAATGTGCTAAAAGATTACGTGCCATTCAAAAAATGTACAATAAAAATTAAAGGAGTAGGTATTTGACTAGTTATGAAAAGTTTTGATTGTAAATTTCATCGATACTTTATAATATTTAGAATCAGAAACAACATTCTGTAGAGAAGTATTACTGTTTTTTAAATTTCATTTTTCATCCATCAATAGTTATTTAAAATCGATATTTCATCATTCGTATTGAATTAAATTACATGATTATTTATTACATTATTTATATACAATGCATTTGCAATATTAAAAAATTTTTATTTAAATTAATCTGTTGGAACTGACTTAAAAATTATTTTGTACTGCTTAAGTTTTGTAAGAATATAAATAATTAATATTTAATTTAATTCATCAATAAAAAATTTTAACGCTATACTTATTGTGAAATATGATAGTAAATAGACTCTCTAAGCGTCGTATGGGACATTAAATAGCCCAGAAAAAAAATAAAATCACCTGAACAACAATAATAGCTAACGTTCAACAAAATTGTGTTTTCCAGATCGTAGTTCTCGCCGCCCTCGTGGCCATAGCCTCTGCCGGTGCCATTGACGCCGAAACATACGTTGTTAAAGAACAGCCGCACAACAACATCGGTATCGGTGATTACCAGTTCTCCGTCGAACAGAGCGATGGCCAGGCTCGCAGCGAAGTTGCCACGGCCGCGGTGGTCCGTAATCCTGAGACCAACGAGGACCACACTATTCTCAGAGTCCAAGGCCAGTACAGCTACGTTGACCAGAAAACTGGCAAATCGTTCGTTGTGTACTACACTGCCGATGAAAATGGTTACCACCCCCAGGGAGACCATCTGCCCAAATAAAGACTGTTTTTTCTTCTTCGTAGTCGACTTCGGTCTTCTTCCTCTTTCATCTTCATCTTTAGCTGTTTTTTAAAAATAAATTACTATTTTTTATTAATCCTGCATTTGAATTATTTTTTAAATATACCTAATCCCTTGGTCTGTAATTTTTTGTTGATTTATACATATTATAACGATCGACATGAAAATTAACAATGGAAACGTATCGAGCATCTGAAGATACTATTTTGGTTTCTTTAGTAGAGTATGGACAAAATTATTAGAATATACAGTTGATCTTAGATACGCTTGACTAAAGAATTTTTGCGGCTTTAAACAGTAAAGTAAAAAAAAATGTTACGTGTAAATTATCATAGATGATTTTTGTATCAACTGTTTCTGATGTGGTATGGAGGAACAGTAAACTATTTACAAGCAGACATATTCTTTTTTTGAAATTTAATTTAGCAGAAGCTTTAAGCATTAAATTTATTAGGAGCTTGATGGTTGTAGTTACAATATCAGGTTATGTTTCACAAGCATGACAAAATTCTCCACCGTTTCCTGATTGAATTTTTCTAAGAAAAAATAATTCGATTTAATGATGTATGCTCTTGCAACTAAGATGTGGATTAAATAACACTGAAATTAGTATTTTAGACATAAAAATGAATATATTAGACTAAGTTGGTTTAGTCAAGAGATATGCTTACTTAAAAAAAACTTTTCAAATAGTGCTGCTTTCAATAGCATAAAAAAATATTTAGTAATAAATAGTCGAAACTTATTGCCTATAACCAGTTAGGTATAATGTCTGTCATTAGTTCTTCCAAAAATAATTTGAAAGAATCTAAAAAAAGATTTGAAATTTAATTTTAATGTCAGCAATAATGATAGTCTTTTATTAACAACTGAAACTCAGTATTCAGACAGTTAATGTAAAACTAGAAACACACCTGCATTTTCACTGAAAATATCACTGACAGTAGCAAATTGGCCGTAGTGTACGTGTGTATTTACAAGTTTCATCAGCAGTTATCTGTTATTCCTAATTCTAAAATACTACATTAGAAAAAATACATTATAGGTAAGAATATGTGTTATTGCTTTCAATTAAAAATTGTCTTTAGACTTTATCCATTGACTAAGAATTGGTGGAGCAATTTACCTCAAACAAAAGTGCAGTTCACTGATACATAGCGTTTACTAAAATAAAATGAAGATGAAGGCTTATTACTGAATCAATGAAGACTAAATCAATATTAATATAAAATGATGAAACAAATTTATTTTAAATAATTAGTACCCTGACTCTTTTGTTTCAAAGATTATTGAATTTAGATTGCCATAGACCAATAATACAACAACAACAAAAATTACTAACGTAAGCAATTCAAACTCACTATCAATACCTTCGTTATTGATCCATTGTCTTGAAAATTTTCATAGTAGAAAAATTTTTTCAGAATTTCACTTTCCAAGTAGTGATCATATAATATGTACATACTGTTTACTGATATTAATAAATTTACTTTTAGGCAAAGACAAATTCTTCGAAGATTTAACTCTGGGGTAGCATATAAATTCAATGTTACTATGACAATCTTCATGAGTATTAATAATAATAATAATAATAATAATAATAATAATAATAAACAAACATAAAAGTGACATTCATAGAAGCAAGATAAGGAGTATTTGGCTTTAGCCAGACATACTAATAAATACGGTCATAAGTCTAAGTGAGGACTCTTATGATTAAAGGAGGTAGTTTCTTGAGTTATTTAACTTTTTTTGTTTAGTAGGAATATGATTAAAAAAGCGATTTAAAAATTTAAAGACTTTAAAACCAACGTCTATTATTAAAATATTAGTCCATCTTATGTTTGGATTAATCTAGTCTAATAATTATTTATCGTAGTAATTTTTACTTATTATATGATAATAGTATTTTACGGTTTTTACACTTATTATACCTATTAATAGTTGTTCTAACTGATTTGTTACTTCAGTTACAGCTTCTATCTAACGTCAGTTTTTTTAAGCATTTCTTGTTTTTCTTTCTATTTTCAAATATTATGGTCTTTTGAATTGAACAAACATTATCTACAAACCTTGTTAGGTCGATCAGTTATGAATACACCGTGATTCTTACACTTTCCTACACCCAATTAGTGTCATAACTACAATAAGTTTTTTAATAATTTGGACATTGAGTACTGGAATTTTGTAAGGCCTAAATGTATTTTAATCATCGCCAAGGTGTATTTTTTGTTTTTCTAGGTAAAAATTTTTTTTATTTTAGATGGTTGTCCTGTAAGACCAATGTCAGCTATAATTGATGTAGATTGTAAGCTTTCTATGATGTAAATATTGAAATACATATATTGTTTTTACCATACGTTTTATTGGATGAATTTTAACTCAAAATATATGTTCTTTAGATTTGATATTATGTTTATTTGATGAGATCAATTGAGATCGGTAAAATATAGCTTTGTTTTAAATGGATAAACAAGCTGTTAAAATAAGTTTTCTTATGGTGTACACTATGCTTAAGTAAATTTTATAAACAATAAAGATTTCAAATAAGCTGCCAAACCAAAGGCAAGGGTCCATAAGTAGTTAAAAAAAATACTTTTTAAATTGATTCATAAATTACAGTTAGACGAAAAATTGCAAAACAGTAAAATTGAAGGTCCAATGAGATCGGTAAAATATAGCTTTGTTTTAAATGGATAAACAAGCTGTTAAAATAAGTTTTCTTATGGTGTACACTATGCTTAAGTAAATTTTATAAACAATAAAGATTTCAAATAAGCTGCCAAACCAAAGGCAAGGGTCCATAAGTAGTTAAAAAAAATACTTTTTAAATTGATTCATAAATTACAGTTAGACGAAAAATTGCAAAACAGTAAAATTGAAGGTCCNTTGATTACATACACATATAATTAAGTACAAAAAAAAAATAAGAAAAAAAAAAGTTAAATAAATTATTATGGAAAATTTTTCAGAATTTCAAGATTAATATGTATGTAGAAAATTTGACAATGCCACTTTTTCAGTAAAAGAATAGCATTGGGTATCGATTTTGAAAATTTAGTTATTTTCTAAGGTATCATACCAGTATTTTTTTCTTCTATAACCATAACAAATTGTTATATTTTTTAACATTCTTTTACTGTTTCAACAATACTTTTTAGAAATGATTACGCTCATCAAATGAATGAAAATACATTCATGCAGGTTACTGCAACCGATTTTCGATTTTCTATTAGTAACATTTTTGCTATTACAAAAATTAAAGCTATGAACAGCAATCTAAATTATAGTAAGTACGAATTTTATAGAGTTTCAAATTTTTTTTTACGTAAAATTTTAGAAAAGAGAAAATATTTAAGTAACATTGTTGCTTTTCACCAAGTTCTTAGTAATGTCAACTGAATGCAATATTTAGATTAGAAAAATAAATAAAACATTCAAACCGTAAAAACCGTAATTTTTTCTTTTAGTAACATTACTTAAGATTCAGTAAAAAAGTAGAAAATGCTTGGTTTGATAAACAAGAAACTCGGCAAAAGACATTTACGTTGAAATAGGTATATTATCTAATGTTACAGTACACGTGTACATAATAGCATTCAAAATGATGATGCATGAGCAGAAACTCAGCAATTGGTCCCCGTTTATGGGAAAAATTCATAAAATTTCGTCAAGGCAAACGATTTGGATGAACAGATTCTGCTGTTGAGGTAAAAAGATGGTAATTTTATGTTATTGAATCGATGTACTAAACAAGTTATGATGAAAGAACGGGTAAGGCGTGCGGCAATTGCTTTTTGGTAGTTGGACATGCCAGTATAAAAAGCCTGAGAAAATTACTTTCGGTACATTTAGTGCTTCGCTCGTCTTCTGATCTTAAACTGCTCATCCCAGACCAAAAACAACATGAAAGTGGTAAGAACATTTTTAATTGTTATAAATAACTTGAAAAAAAATTTTGTTGTATAATTTTGTAAGCAAAAGTAAAAGAAAAACAAAATTGTTTTACTGTCTTTTGTTGGAAGTGTTGGTACCATGCTATGAATATTTGTAAAAGTATTCATTTAATCTTTTTAGTAACTTCCATATCCATTTCTACTTAAAGTTACTAAATAAAAATCGAATGTAAAAACTTAACTAAATGAGTGTTGTATGAATGTCAATTATTTTTAACCAATAAATTACAATTTATCAAGTCAATTATTGAGTTCTTCGTTACTATCTTTTCTTAAGAATTTAATTATAACTTTTTGACAAAATTATCATTTTAATAAATAAATTGGTAAATGATCAATGTACTTTTAGTCACCTTAATACTTATTAATACGTAGACATGTAATCACAAGACTTAAAAATACTTATTTTGTTTAAAAATATTAAATATTAAAATTAATCTAATAGAATGTTTATGACAATCAGTCGAATTATCGTATAAAATATGACTATAAAAATACACTAGATGTTTAATTTTATTAATATTATAGTCGTTATAGCTCACAAAACAAACAAAATTACGTAAGCCAAAAAAATTACAAACGTTCAACAAAATTGTGTTTTCCAGATCGTAGTTCTCGCCGCCCTCGTGGCCGTAGCCTCTGCCGGTGCCATTGACGCCGAAACATACGTTGTTAAAGAACAGCCGCACAACAACATCGGTATCGGTGATTACCAGTTCTCCGTCGAACAGAGCGATGGCCAGGCTCGCAGCGAAGTTGCCACGGCCGCGGTGGTCCGTAATCCTGAGACCAACGAGGACCACACTATTCTCAGAGTCCAAGGCCAGTACAGCTACGTTGACCAGAAAACTGGCAAATCGTTCGTTGTGTACTACACTGCCGATGAAAATGGTTACCACCCCCAGGGAGACCATCTGCCCAAATAAAGACTGTTTTTTCTTCTTCGTAGTCGACTTCGGTCTTCTTCCTCTTTCATCTTCATCTTTAGCTGTTTTTTAAAAATAAATTACTATTTGTAAACTA